AAATAGTAGGAAGGAGATCAAGTTTAACTAGGGCCTAGGCTTAGGAGCCTAGGCCCAACTAGGATGTCGAGTAGTTTGTGCCTAGGGTGAGAGTCGAGAAAGTTGGAAAGGATGGTTTCACTATAGGTTTCGAAGAACATATAGCAAAGGAAACAAATAAGGTGCACCACCAAACAAAGTTTATAATAACTACACTAACTACAGCTACAGGCAGTTACAAATATAAGTTCTGACACTCCCCCATAACTGCCTGCAGGAGGAGTTTGTGCAGAATACAACCTGCAGGTGTACACATGCAAAATAATAAACAAGCAACAGCAGGAACTGCAGGCGGGCTGACACTAGCTGGTCACCCACTCCATCTCCTCACCCTCCTCCTTCCCCTCCCCCACACTGCTGCAGGAGCAGCAGAGAGGGGGGGGAAGAGAGGAGAGGTGGAGGGACGGCTGCTGGTTGCCTCACACCCGCCACCCCGGTGCCACTCCCCCTTCTCCCCCACACCCTCACACCCTCCCCCCCAGCGGCAGCTGCAGCAGTGGGAACGAAAGGAGGAGGAGGGGAAGGGAAGGAAACGACCCAAAGCTCCAACACCCGCCACCCCCATACCCTCCTCCCCACGGCTGCAGGGAAACAAAGGAGGAGGGGGTGGGCGGGAAGAAAGCCGCAGAGCGGCTACATTGTGTCGGCGCAGGTAGGTCAGGGGCGGCTGCAGGGAGAGCAGGTGCGGAGAGGGCCCGTCGCATGCCACGGGGCGCACGACGGGCAAGTTTAAGTTTAGGGCCCGGTCGTGTGCCTCGGGGCGCACGACGAGCAGGGCACCGTCGCGTGCCACGGGGCGCACGACGGGCAGGTTTAGGGCACCGTCGCGTGCCACGGGGCGCGCGACGGGCAGAGAAGGAGTCACTCGCCAACCGGGGGCGGGACAAGAGAAAATCGCCACGCGCCCTAGGCGCGCGACCGAGAAAAATAGCAGCGGAAGCATATTGGCGGGCCCACAGGCCAGGACGTAAAACGCTCTGATAGCATGATAAAATAGTAGGAAGGAGATCAAGTTTAACTAGGGCCTAGGCTTAGGAGCCTAGGCCCAACTAGGATGTCGAGTAGTTTGTGCCTAGGGTGAGAGTCGAGAAAGTTGGAAAGGATGGTTTCACTATAGGTTTCGAAGAACATATAGCAAAGGAAACAAATAAGGTGCACCACCAAACAAAGTTTATAATAACTACACTAACTACAGCTACAGGCAGTTACAAATATAAGTTCTGACAATGGGCAATCTGAATATGCAAAAACATTTCCATGGTGCAACACAATTTTCTTCACGTACTGGATTTTACGCGCATTTTGGTCCATACGTCGGCAAAGATAGCCATCGTTCAGGGTTGTCGAACTTTCATTTGCGAGGCTATCAAGCCGAAACTCGGGCCGAGGATGCGTCTGCTTATGGGCAATCTGAACATGCAAAAACATTCTCATGGTGCAACACATTTTTCTACACGTAATGGATTTGACGCGCATTTTGGTCAATACGTTGGCAAAGACTGCCGTCGTTCAGGGTTGTCGAACTTTTATTTGCTAGGCTATCGAGCTGAAACTCGGGTCGAGGATGCGTCTGGTTTTGGAACAACTGAATCGGCAAAAACATTCTCATAGTACAACACAATTTTCTACACCTAAAGAATTTTACTCGCATTTTGGCACATACGTCGGCAAAGATTGCCGCCGTTTAGGGTTGTGGAACTTCCATTTGCGAGGCTATCGAGACGAAACTCGGGTCGAGGATGCGTCTGGTTATGGAAAGACTGTATCGACAAAAACATTCTCATGGTGCAACACAATTTTCTACACCTATAGATTTTTACCCGCATTTTTTGCCATACGTCGGCAAAGATGGCCGCCGTTTAGGGTTGTCAAATTTTCATTTGTGAGGCCGGGAAGGAGTCGCGCGGAATGTTCATTCTCCTCGTCGCCTACGTCGACGATCTACTCTGCACCGGCGAGGATACGGAGCTGCTGGACCAGTTTGAGGCAGGCATCAAAGAGAAGTTGGAGGTGACAATCAACCACAACGTCACACAATTTCTAGGTCTCAACATCACCCAGTCTGCCACCTCCATTCATCTCTCCGCCACCAAATACGCGGAAACACTCGCGAAAAAAAGTTAGCCGTCGCACCTATCAACCCCACTACTCCCTTCCGCACTCCTCCTCCTCCTAATCACGAACCGAATACCACACCGCTCTCCATCGAGGATCATTGGCTCTATCAGCAGCAGCTCGGGTGCCTCCTGTTCGTCACCATCACGTGCCGGCCCGATCTTTCCTACGTCGCAAGCCAGCTCGCATAGTACATGAAGCGACCTGAAGGGGAGAATCTACTGGATCTACGCCGAGCTCTTCAATACTTCGTCTCTACCCCTGACGTCGGACTCACCTACGAAGCTAACCTCGCCGCTACTCTACAGCTCCATGGCTACGTAGACGCAGACCACGCATGAGACATTGACAACAGGAGCTCCCGCACAGGATCCATTTTTCAGCTTCAACCGCTGGAATCATCTCTTGGAACTCACAGAAGCAGGAATTCATTGCTCTTTCGTCAACGGAAGCTGAGTTCATCGCCGCCGGCGCAACTGTTCGCGAAAGACTGTACCTACTGGAGCTCCTGCAGGAAGCGAAAGTAACGATGAACGTGCACTTCATGCTACTCTGCGACAACCAGAGCGCGATCAAGATCGCGAACAAGCCAGGCTTCGTGAACTGCACAAAGCACATCGCCCTCCGCTACTTCTTCGTCAAGTACGAGATTGACAAGGGCAATGTCAAACTCACGTACTGCCCAACTGGTGACATGGCAGCCGACTTTCTCACAAAGAAACTGTCACGCCAACAGTTCCAGCACTGCGCCGACCTCTGCGGGATCACTAAGAAATCCCACGTGGCTCACCTTCAAGTATGAAAGGGAGTGTTGGAATAACCGAAAGGTTATTATGATATTCCTGAAGGATCTCTACTAACGCGTTACTCCATAACGGAACAACGCACTGTATCAGTACCGATGTAGCTCATATAGAGCATGTGGAAGATCGAGAGTCACCCGAAGGTCAACAGTCGAAGACTGTCAAGAGTCGTGACTCTTGACCGTCCAGTAACCGCCTGGTAGTTACGTACTTCAACATGGTAACTGTTGAGAAGAGCAATAGTCGTGGTTACTGTAGCAATGCAATACATTCATCAAGGGAATTTACTCCTCAGAGTACATGACTAGCTAGTTTGCTATGTATAATTTTGTACTCCTATCTTATAATCATCTTTGTCAATAATGAAAGTGTTGGTTCATTGATGTGGGTTGGGGTACACATAGCAAACCCTAACATTTGTACCCCCTAAGACAATCCTCACTACAGGCTACAACATTTGACACACCCCCATAGCCTAAGTGAGGGGCGTCAAGCAAAACCAAAAGTGTACGGTCACAAGACCAGTCACAAAGAAACAAAGCTCAGGGTGGATCACAACGTCACCACACACTCCGAGCACAAGCAACAGGGGCCACAAGGCCATTCCAAGAGTTCACAAAGGTGTACGGCAAGTGTACAAGCAAAGCAAACAGTAAACTCAAGCCTACGCAAGACGAGAACAAGTGTCAACAAGACCTAACTGCACACAACACCTCTGGTGGTCACAAGGCGGAAGTGCCTTGGTGAAGATGTCTGCAGTGTTGGCCTCAGACTCCACAAACTCGAAGCGAGCCTGTCCACGTCTCTGCAACTCTCGCAGAAGAAAGTACCTGACGTTAATGTGTTCACTCTGCTCTCCAGTCGCGGCTCTCGACACAGGAGAATCGACGCCTTGTTGTCAGTGAACAAGGTCGGTGCAGAGCTCGGCCGCTCACCAAGGTCGCCGAGCAAGAAGGTCAACCAACGCAGCTCCTGTGCCGCCATGGCACCAGCGTAGATCTCAGCCTCAGCGGTACTCTTTCAATTTTATCGGTCATCTCTAAAAAAATCATTGTCTTCTCTGAACTTAGCAAGACTTATCCTATCCACTTCGATCCTTTAGTTATAACAGCAGAGATCATTCGAGAATGTCATAATAAACTTTCGGTTATTCCAACATCTACTAGTTGTGAAAGGAACCCTGTTTGTAACCAACAAAGAGCAGCTGCCACGCCAGCTAACGGGGAATGGGCTGCTGACACGTGCGCGAGATACACAGCCGTGCGCGGGAGTCTGCGAGTAGCGACCAATCAGCCGTGAGTAACGTCAGCAACAACCATGCGGAAACGCTAATGAGTTGAGAATACAGTGAGAAAGGTTTCATATCTCTCTGTACCTAGTACGAGGCCGCCTTTATCGGGTTGTAAGGGCGAGTCACTCACACCATAGCAACATAACTCGTTCGTAACTGCTTGCTCCTCATTCCGCTATTATTTCTCCTCCTACCCGAGTCGCCCCTCCTCACGCGCATAACTGTCGCGTCTAACACCAGTTTAGAATCCGTGGTCCGCTTCGGAACTCCGTCTGCCACACCTCCTTTTATTCTCTCCTCCTTGAATTCGCATATTTTTCCTCCTTCAGGCCGTGCCGTAGCATGCTTGTGCCTTTGGCGTGTTTGTGCGCGTGCCACGTCCCTGCGATCACCCCGCGCTACTCGCCTTCGCGACGATGCCACGAGAGGAGGGAATGGAAGGGGCGTTGAGGACGGACTGTGATAGGCGCGTCAGAGGCCAAACCGTTCTGCTGATAGTGCAGCGTGACTCTAGCCGCCTTACCCTTGTGCATACCAACTCCTCTCTTGCGCCACCATCTCATCGCGGATCGTACGCTCGTCGCATCTCCTGAAATCGACGCGCAATTTGTACATTATTCTCTCTCCGGTGGCAGTCCGCTTTCCCGCCTCCGCCTCTCCGCTTTTCGCCTCCCCGCCTCTCCTCCTCTCCGCCTCTGCAATTTTCCGCCCCCTTCTCCGCCCGCCGCCCTCCGCCCCTCCGCCCGCACGCCATGGCGTTTCCGGAGCTGCTGGCGCGGCAGGCGTCCATCCATCCGCTCACGCTCGATGAATTCCAGGCGACGCTCCCGTCGCACGCCGTCGCACCCATGCCCATGGACGACATCCTGCGATCCGTCTGGCTCGCCGAGGAGTCGCACATGCTCGCCGCCGCGCACGCCGCCGGGCGCGCGGATCCGCGTGCGCGCGACAGGGCTGTGGGGCTGCTGCGCGCGCGCTCGCTGCGGCGGCAGAAGTCCAGTGCGGCGATCACTCGGGTCGCTGGGAGGGCTTGGAGCGCAGGGAGGGGGTCCACTGGGGTCGCTGGGAGGGCTGCGGGGAGCAATGGGAGCGATGGGGGCGCAGGGAGGGGGTTCACTGGGGTCGCTGGGAGGGCTGCGGGGAGCAATGGGAGCGATGGGAGTGCGGGGAGCTATGGGACCTGCCCCTCCAGTGGTGGGATTGCCATGGGGATGGGCATGGGATGGGGCATGGGCGGAGGCGTGGGCCGAGGCGTGGGGATGGGTGGGGGAATGGTGCCCACTGCGTATGGTGTGGGCGCAGGTATGGGCGCAGGTATGGGCGCAGGTATGGGCGCAGATATGGGCGCAGGGGGGCTGGGGCGGCTTGCTGGGGAGGCTTGCTGGGGAGGCTTGCTGGGGAGGCTTGCTGGGGAGGCTTGCTGGGGCGGGCATGGTGGCGGCGGATGAGGTGAGGGGCGGGGGAGAGAGGTGGGGGGGCCATTCCGTGCCATTCCGTGCCATTTACCATTCCGTACCATTCTCTGCCATTCTCTGCCATTCTCTGCCACTGCCTCTGCTGCTGCTGTCTCACCCTCTTCCATCCTTCCTTCCCCTTTTCACCATACCTCTCCCACTTCCTAAACTTTCACCCCCCCAACCGACCTGCATCACCTCCTATTCTCTCCATCGCCTCTCCCCCCCTTCCTCCCTCTCCCCCTCCCCTCCCTCCGGTTCGCAGGAGCTGACCTGGTGCTGCGCTGTGCAGGGCCCTTCTAGCCAGAACCGCGCTGCACCATTTTGGAAGCCGCCATCCGCACCAAGGTGGGCGCCCTGCCTCTCGGGTGTCGTCCTCCTCTCTCCCCTCCACACATGTATTGCGCCCCACACACCCTGCAGCCCTCCCCCCCACCGTGCAACACCGCTCCCCCGCTCTACCCGTTACCTGCCCCCCTGCGGTACCGCCATCGTGCTTCTCTGCCATCGTGCTTCTCTGCCACGTCACGTCTGTGAGGCGGCTCAAAAGCCCTCCCTCTCACCCCCTTCCCCACCCCTTAGCCCCCCTCTTCCCCCCTCCTGTGTCACATGCCGTTCTCTCCTGTGTCACATGCTGTGGTCTCCTGTGTCACATGCTGTGCTCTCCTGTGTCACATGCTGTGCTCTCCTGTGTCACATGCTGTGCTCTCCTGTGTCACATGCTGTGCTCTCCTGTGTCACATGCTGTGCTCTCCTGCGCGTGGAGGAGGGGGCGCGCAGGGAGGAGCAACAGGCCGCTCTCAGCCTTCGGGCAAAGAGCCTGCGGTTCCACCACTCTCTCACATGCTCGTTCACTCACGCACTCACTCACCCACTCACTCACCCACCCACTCACTCACTCACCTGCACCCGCCAAATCCACCAAACCACACTCACCTGCACCCCCAAACCCACTCACTCTCACTGCACGTGCATGCACCATGATGGGCAGGTGTTGAGACGCAGCAGCACGGACAGGGGGGCGTGTGTGCTACATTGCGTTGGGGTGCAAGGCGGTGCAGGACTGTCAGTGCGGTGGTGTCAGTGCGGTGGTGGTGTGTGTGGCAATCACTGGCCGTGGTGTGGATGTGCTGCTCTGCTCTTTAACTGTCTGCCACGCCATCCACTTACTCCTCCTGTGCTACTTAAAAGCAAGCCAACCCACACGCCTCGCCCCCAACCCACTGCACTCAACCTCCCTCTCCTTGCTCCCTCTTCCCTCTCACGCCCTTCTGCCCAACTCTTTCCCGGCCTGTCCCCTTTTATTCCATCCCCTCCCCTTGTTTCCCTTCCTCTCCCCAACTGCCACTCCATCAACTCGCTCCACCTCCCCCACACCAAGGCAAGTCAACCAAACGTTTCGCCCCCAACCCATACAAGCCACACTCCATGCCATGCCATGCCATGCCATGCCATGCCCTGCCATGCCATGCCATGCCATGCCATGCCATGCCATGCCCTGCCATGCCATGCCATGCCATGCCCTGCCATGCCATGCCATGCCATGCCATGCCATGCTATGCCATGCCATGCTATGCCATGCCATGGCCTGCCCTGACCTGCCCTGCCCTGCCATTCCATGCCATGCCATGCCATGCCCTGCCATGCCATGGCATGCCATGCCATGCCCTGCCCTGCCCTGCCGTGCCCTGCCATGCCATGCCATGCCATGCCATGCTGTGCCTTGCCATGCCATGCCATGCTATGCCATGCCATGCCATGCCATGCCATGCCATGCCCTGCCATGCCATGCCATGCCATGCCATCCCTTGCCATGCTATGCCCTGCCCTGCCATGCCATGCCCTGCTCGGGAGGGAAAGGGGGAAGGGCAGTGCGTTGCATGTGGACAGCAAGGGGCATGGGGGGCATGCGAAGGAGGCGGCATGGGGGTGATGCTTTGGTGTTCTCCACTCGTTGCTCAACCAACTGTGCCCCCCGCTCTGTGTGTGCCCCCATGTGGCAATTACCTGTGCAGATAACTTGCATACTACATGGCATCCTGTGCTCTGTCTAGCAGGAGACACGCCTCAAAAGGAGTTTTGGGTGCGGCTTCACCTGAGAGGGCACTCTGCCTTCCACATGGCGTCCTGAGTTGCATTTAGTGAGCAAGCGAAGAGGATCACAAGTATCTTGCTCCACTGTGCTGCAACGGCTCAACTCGTGACACGCCTCTCTCTTCCCTTACGGCAATCTCCTCCTCGGCCTGCTCCCCTGCAGTTGATACTCTCACGCAGAAAGGTGGCTGTTGAATAGATGTCTGAGACAAGCTCCTCTAGATGCGGTGCATGAGGGCTGATTACTGGTCATTCGAATCCAACCTTGTTTAGATTCACAGTGCTCATTGTTTGATTAACAACTGATAGTACCATCTATTGTTGTTGATGTAAGGTTCCTTTCCAAAGCACCTTAAACAAAAAGCACCTACCCTGCACCCCCTTACTTCCCATCTGGCCGCACCTTCTTAACTCCACTCCTCTCAGCCCCCGTCGGCGCACTCCTCTTAACCCCCTTCAGCGCACTCATCTGAGCCCCCTTGTGCGCACTCATCTGAGCCCCCTTGTGCGCACTCATTTGAGCCCCCTTGTGCGCACTCATCTGAACCCCCTTGTGCGCACTCCTCTCCGCCCCATTCAGAGTACTCCTAAGCGGAGTCCTCGTCTCACCCTCCTCTTGCAGCGCCTCCGCCTTCTTCCCTTCTTGCTGAGTCATGTCCTCCTTGTTCTGCAATGCGTTGTTCTTGATTGCTCGCACCAGCTTGGCATACCTGCCCACACACATTGAGAAAAAAATAGGAGAGAAGAGAAGGGAGGAGAGGGAGAGGAAGAGTGTTGCCATCCTGCTCTTGAGCCACCTCACCTCTACCCTACTCTCCCTCAACTGCACCATCCCTCTGTCCTGCAACACCTCTACCCCTCCGTCCCCCAACCTCCCTATCCCTTTGCCCCCGGACCTTCCTATCCCTCTGCCCCCAAACCTCTTCCTGCTTCTGCCAATGGGCCAGCAACCCTCTTCCTCCAGCAACAACACACCCCCATCTGCTGTAGCTCCTGCAGGTGAGTCTGCTCTCAAGGGACAGTTCCTGGGCAAATGGGTGCGCTCAGACCCATGGAGTTGACACTCAACGAACGCAAGCCTGACACAAGGGCTGGAAACAGGGCTGACACAAGGGCTGGAAACAGGGCTGACACAGGGGCTGGACACAGGGCTGACACAAGGGCTGGACACAGGGCTGACACAAGGGCTGGACACAGGGCTGACACAAGGGCTGGACACAGGGCGGACACAAGGGCTGGACACAGGGCTGACACAAGGGCTGGACACAGGGCTGACACAAGGGCTGGACACAGGGCTGACACAAGGGCTGGACACAGGGCTGACACAAGGGCTGGACACAGGGCTGAGACAGGACTAGCTCGGCCGGGGGTGACACAGGGCTGACATGACCCCTCACATCAAACCCCCAACCTCCAAGGACTCACGCGAGCGACCTGGCAGTCTCGCCCAGGTTCCCGTTGGCCGGGGATACGTTCACAAACATTAGCGTCTTGGCGTTGCCTCCCAGCGAGTCGCTCAGGAGCTCCGTGAGCTTTTTGCCGCGGTACGTGAACCCTTGCCCTTTGCCCTGAGCCAGCGCAGTGAAAACGCCCACCAAGGCGGACAGCGATGTGTTGATCGCCCTGGCTTCCTTTTGCTGCTCGCCCACTGACCCCGACTTATCCAGGTTCTCTGATCCGGCGAGGTCCACAAAGGACAGCTGCAGGGAGAGGAGGGGGGAGTGGGGGGAAGGGAGAGCACTGATGGGTTTATGGGCAAAGCTTCTTCACCCTCTTCGACTCCCCCATGCCCACGAAGGACAGCTGGAAGAAATGAGCGAGGGGTAAGGGGAAGAGGTGGTGAGTGGGAAATAGTAGAGGTAAGGGGTAGAGTAGACGGCTTAGCATAGGGAAGATGGGCAGATAGCCTTGAAGACTGCACTCCCTCTGACCTTGCTAGGTCCACAATGGTCAAGTGCAGCTGGGGAGGGAGGAGGAGGTAAAAGGCAGGAAATCTTGATGCGGGACACAACAGGGGTATATGGGCGAATTGAGGTGGCGAGAAGTTGGGGGTGGGTGTGTCAGCTAGTTACGATTTACAACAGAAGAAAAGGTACACACTCATGTGCGCTGCGTTCACACACCCACGCCACACACACCCCCAGCACACACCTTTCCGCAGCACACGCTCTTGGTGAGCAGGTCGGTGGTCTCCACAATGATGGAGATCACCAGGTGCGACCTTGAACTCTCCGCGTTCATGTGTGTGGAAGCCACTATGCGCCTCTCCATCCCCTCCCGCACCACCGTCTGCAGGTGCTGCAGGTCCTTCACTGCAAGCAATGTTTCATTCTCCACATAGAACACGCCCTGGGGGAACATGGGAACATGCAGAGAGTACAGAGTGGTTAAGGGTGGCGAGCAGTTTAATGCGGTGCAGAACGGCTACTGCACGCGTCTCCATGCCCCCCTGGACCGCTGCTTCCAGCTACGAGAGGTACTGCACCTCAATGAGAGTCGCCTTCACCACCATCACCATGCCCTGGGGAGGGGGGAGAAATAACACCAAGTAACACATCAAGAGGGTACTGAGCGGTTGAGAGTGGTGCAGCGGTATTGACTGGCTGGATATGAGCGCGCTGGACCAAGGGGCTTGGCGGGAGACAACAAGTGTGCAGGAACTAGAGAATAGAATCCTGGTGCATTCCACTGCTCATGGTGCCACACTCACACGTGCGATGCTACCTACATAGTACATACCTTGGCAGATTCCCTGATCTTCAATTTCGGCTTGTCGCGAGTATTCTCGGGCAGCAGGAGGTCCTTCAGCGTGTCCTGGTACAGCTCCAGCATGCGCACCTGCCAAAGAGGAAGGATGGGGCGCGGGTACGCGGAAAGAGGGCAACAGTGAACGAGAGCGACAGCAGCAGCAGCGGCAGCAGCAGCAGCAGCAGGTTGCGCAGGCAGCGTGCCCTGGTGGAGTGGCAGGTGCAGCACGGCTGACTGTAGCTGCAGCAAGGCAGCTCACCTGCAGCTTGTAGGTCTTGCTCCCTTCCTCCTTCTTCATCACGTTGAAGAGCTCCTGCATGGCGCGCGGCATGAGCCCGAGGTCCTTATCCGTGCCATGGATGGTGAAGGTCTTCCCGCTGCCCGTCTGCCCGTACGCAAGGATGCACACGTTGAACCCGTCAAAGACCGACTGGATCAGGTACTGCAGGGGGGGAAGGGGGCCGGGGGTCGGTTGGGAGGGGAAGGGGAAGGGGGGGGTAGGGGGCAAGGGCCCATAGGGTGAGAACGTTGAGCACTGGCTGATTGTGGTGCATGAAAGTGGCCAAGGCGGTGATGCCTGCCACAAATGGTGCCACCTACAAATGTTGCCACCTGAATCATCCCTATGGAAGGCACACAGCAACTTGCTTACTTGTGTGTCTTTAAACACCGCCTGTTGAGTGGCGTTGTGGTCAAAGACTTGGTTGAATTCGTACAGCTTGGGCTCCCCACCCTTGGTGTCGGGGTGCCGCAGCGTGTACTCGTCCAGCCTCTCCAGCACCGAGTAATGGCCCTCCTGCTCCTCCCTCTTACTCAGCGGCCGTAACCGTGCATTCACCCGAACCTTGCCCTTCAATTCTGCATGTACGCAGCGGGAAGGACAGGGAGAGGGGTGGGGACGGGGAGGGAGACGGGAAACGTCCTCAAGGCAACCTACAGCCGCGACAGGTCGTTACCAGCTGCTGAGCGGTTGCCACCACACATACACCAGCGGCAGCCCCCGACAAATCTCGCCCTTCATCATGTCTAGATGTGCGGGAAAGAGAGTGGGGGCAGGGAAGAAGGAAGGGAGGGGGTTCAGGCTACCATACAACTCAGACAGACCACTCCCCGCGAGCTGCCCAGCAGCCGCCATCCACCCATGCCCAAGCCACGGCCAAGCCACGGCCAAGCCACTCCCAAGCCACGCCCAAGCCACGACGATGCCACGCACAAGCCACGCCCAAGCCACGGCCCAACACCGTGTCCACTCACCCTCCAGCAGGTTGTAGAACTTTTTGCGCTTCTTAGACTCCTCCTTATACGCTTCCTTCAGCTTCTCATGCTCCGCTAGGTTCCGTTCCATCTCCTGTGGGACACGTGCGGAAAAAAGGGATTGAATTTGGAGACCATGCTGTATCATTTCCGCCCGTCACATCTCCTCCAGATGCTGCGACTTAGCCTCTTTCTCCCTCTCACCTCCCACATAAGAGTTAACCCATACATGACAACACTCACCGCCTTCATCCCCCTCAGCTCCTCCAGATCCTTGGAAAGCGCTTGCAGCTCCCGCGCAGCCTTCTCCTTCACCTCCTCCCTCAGCTTGGCCTCTTCCGCCTGCCTCTCCACCAATCGCTGCTCAGCGGACTCCAGACTGGCCGCCAGCCCATCTCGCTCTGCTGTCAAGCACAGAGCCTGCTGGTGATATGCCGCCACTCTCTCCTCCAGATCCTCCACTTCGGATCTCAGCCATGCATCCATCTCTTTCTTCACTGCTACCTGACGGGGAGTATGGCAGAAGGGAGATGCGTGGGGGCGTGAGGACATGCGGGGAAGGAGGGAGTGAGACGCAGTGAGGATAGGGATGAAGCAGTTTCAGATACTGGAGTGCAACCAAGGTACGAAAAAAAGAAAAGTTCGGCAAGGTTGCATGCACTCCTCCTAGTCCTAGTCCCACCTCCTCCCTGCCTGTAAGGAAAGGATGAGGTGGAAGCAGTTTCAGATGCTGGCACGAGCTACTGCTCCAAGGCATGCCTAAACCACATCGCCGCTAGGTTGGACCTGAGGGCAGCGCCTGAGGTGGAAGAGAAGGCTCACCTTGTTCGCCGTTGAGAGCTCCAAGTCCTCCAGGCGCTGCTCCAGGGCTTGCCTCTCCCGCACAGCTGCCTGCACCTGCTCCTCCGCCTGTGAGGCATGGGGGCGCAGAGGAAAAGTCGAGAGGGGGTTCACATCACACAGCATCCCTGCACCTGCTCCTGTGCTCGCCTGCCCACCGCCTTCAGCAGCATGTGCAAATGGCGGGGAATGAGCGGTCAGGGAGAGGGAGGAGAAGTGGAGTGGGAGGAAAAGAAACAGGGGGGCATGTTTAATCAGAGAAACTGAGAGAAGTGAAAACATGAGGAAAATAGCAGGCAAAGTAGCGGAAAATAAGTGACAATAGCGGGACAAGAGAGCAGGCAGAGAAGCAGAAAAGACGTGACTGCGCCTTGTTCCCCTTCACCTCCTTCCTCACCTGGGCATTTGCCACCCGGCTGTCCTCCAGTTGCTGCATGGCGCCCGCCAGACTGTCTGCCAGCCTGTCCCGCTCTGCAGTCAAGCGCTGCTCCAACTCCTTCGCCTGGCAGACAGAACAAAAGCGTGAGGCGGGGGAGTGGGGGAGAAGGGAGAAGCACGGGGACGTGAGGACGTGAGGGAGAGGAGGGAGAAGTACTCGTGAGCAGGCAGAGAAGAAAAAACGTGACTGCGCCCGGTTCCCCTTCTCCCGCACCTCATCTCTCAGCCGACCGTCTGCAGCTCGTCTCTCCTCGAGGTCCCTGGAGAGTGCCTGCACCTGCGCCTCCTTCTCCCGCACCTCCTCCCTCAGCCGACCGTCTGCAGCCCGGCTCTCCTCCAATCGCTGCTCAGCGGCCGCCAGCCTGGCCACCAGCTCAGCCTGCTCTGCTGACGAGCGCTGCTCCAAGGCCTCCTTGTCCAGGGCCGCATTCCGCGCCTGCTCCTCCGCCTGTGAGGCATGGGGGCGCAGAGGAAAAGTTGAGAGGGGGTTCACATCACATGGCATCCCTGCACCTGCTCTTGTGCTCGCCTGCCCACCGCCTTCAGCAGCATGTGCAAATGGCGGGGAATGAGCGGTCAGGGAGAGGGAGGAGAAGTGGTGGGAGGAAAAGAAACAGGGGGGCATGTTTAAGCAGAGAAACTGAAAGAAGTGAAAACATGGGGATAATAGCAGGCAAAGTAGCGGAAAATAAGTGACAATAGAGGGACAAGAGAGCAGGCAGAGAAGCAGAAAAGACGTGACTGTGCCTTGTTCCCCTTCACCTCCTTCCTCACCTGGGCATTTGCCACCCGGCTGTCCTCCAGTCGCTGCATGGCGCCCGCCAGACTGTCTGCCAGCCTGTCCCGCTCTGCAGTCAAGCGCTGCTCCAACTCCTTCGCCTGGCAGACAGAACAAAAACGTGAGGCGGGGGAGTGGGGGAGAAGGGAGAAGCACGGGGACGTGAGGACGTGAGGGAGAGGAGGGAGAAGTAGCTAGTGAGGATGGGGTTGAAGCAGACAGAGTAGTGGAAAATAAGTGGAAATAGCGGGACAAGAGAGCAGGCAGAGAAGAAAAAAAACGTGACTGCGCCCCGTTCCCCTTCTCCCGCACCTCATCTCTCAGCCGACCGTCTGCAGCTCGTCTCTCCTCGAGGTCCCTGGAGAGTGCCTGCACCTGCGCCTCCTTCTCCCGCACCTCCTCCCTCAGCCGACCGTCTGCAGCCCGGCTCTCCTCCAATCGCTGCTCAGCGGCCGCCAGCCAGGCCACCAGCTTAGCCTGCTCTGCTGACGAGCGCTGCTCAGCGGCCGCCAGCCTGGCCACCAGCTCAGCCTGCTCTGCTGACGAGCGCTGCTCAGCGGCCGCCAGCCTGGCCACCAGCTCAGCCTGCTCTGCTGACGAGCGCTGCTCAGCGGCCGCCAGCCTGGCCACCAGCTCAGCCTGCTCTGCTGACGAGCGCTGCTCCAAGGCCTCCTTGTCCAGGGCCGCATTCCGCGCCTGCTCCTCCGCCTGTGAGGCATGGGGGCGCAGAGGAAAAGTTGAGAGGGGGTTCACATCACATGGCATCCCTGCACCTGCTCCTGTGCTCGCCTGCCCACCGCCTTCAACAGCATGTGCAAATGGCGGGGAATGAGCGGTCAGGGAGAGGGAGGAGAAGTGGAGTGGGAGGAAAAGAAACAGGGGCGCATGTTTAAGCAGAGAAACTGAAAGAAGTGAAAACATGGGGATAATAGCAGGCAAAGTAGCGGAAAATAAGTGACAATAGCGGGACAAGAGAGCAGGCAGAGAAGCAGAAAAGACGTGACTGCGCCTTGTTCCCCTTCACCTCCTTCCTCACCTGGGCATTTGCCACCCGGCTGTCCTCCAGTTGCTGCATGGCGCCCGCCAGACTGTCTGCCAGCCTGTCCCGCTCTGCAGTCAAGCGCTGCTCCAACTCCTTCGCCTGGCAGACAGAACAAAAACGTGAGGCGGGGGAGTGGGGGAGAAGGGAGAAGCACGGGGACGTGAGGACGTGAGGGAGAGGAGGGAGAAGTAGCTAGTGAGGATGGGGTTGAAGCAGACAGAGTAGTGGAAAATAAGTGGAAATAGCGGGACAAGAGAGCAGGCAGAGAAGAAAAAAAACGTGACTGCGCCCCGTTCCCCTTCTCCCGCACCTCATCTCTCAGCCGACCGTCTGCAGCTCGTCTCTCCTCGAGGTCCCTGGAGAGTGCCTGCACCTGCGCCTCCTTCTCCCGCACCTCCTCCCTCAGCCGACCGTCTGCAGCCCGGCTCTCCTCCAATCGCTGCTCAGCGGCCGCCAGCCTGGCCACCAGCTCAGCCTGCTCTGCTGACGAGCGCTGCTCCAAGGCCTCCTTGTCCAGGGCCGCATTCCGCGCCTGCTCCTCTGCTCGCCTGCCCACGGCTTTCAACTCCTCCTGCACCTCCTTCAGCTGGATGTGCGAATGGTGTTGGACGCAGGGGAAAAGTTGAGAGTGGCCAGGGAGTGGGAGGAGAAGTGGAGTGGGAGGAAGTTCAACGACAGAAGCAGGGAAGAGGTGGAAACAGGGGGACAAGAGAGCATTCAAAGAAGCGGGAAAGAAGTTCAGCCAGGGGAACAAGAGCAGGCAGGGAAGCGGAAAAGTGGGAGGAAGCAAAAGGAGAAAAATAACCCTCCATCCCCCCCCTCACCCCATTCTGCCGCCTTTGGCATACATTAGAAGAATCGAATATATTGTACCTGTTGTAGTGAATGGATGTGAATAGCACTGCATATATTTTCCCCCTCTTCCGTATGAAACGAGAACTTGTAAGTGTGGTCGTAGCGAATGAATTCAATGATGAGAGCTCCATCAACGCTGCAGTACTGCGTGATTTCGCCATGCGGCACAGAACGGCAGTACAGGTTGTCGTCCGCATGTATAAAATGGACCTGATGCATGCATACGTGTGGGGGATGCGGAGGGAAAGAGGGCACAGAGGTAAAAGGACCAGCGCAGCTAAAGAAAGAGAGGGAGAAGTACAGGGAGACAGAGAAAGGACAAGGAGGATGAGAGGCGGGAAAGATAGAGGATGGACATTGTTGGAAGAAGAAGTACACGACGTTCAGAAGAAAAAGGAAGAATTTAACCACCAATAGCATGCTTTCAAAATTCAATAAAACATGTATCTCAACTCACCCCCGAAATGTTGATAGCAATTCGAACGCTCCCTGACATGATTCCAAACGGATCTTCATCACACAGAGCGTTGTAGGCGATTGCCTTCTTGTACGGAAGTGAACCCAACAGTTGCAAAAACGAAATTCTTGCATCCTGCGGGATTAACTTCCTCTGAAAAAATTACACAAAGAGAGGAAGTTATATAATATAGAAGAGATTCTACGGTGAAACATTGTGGGATGAGACAATAGCAGGTGCATTTAAAACTTGGACAAAAACTGCCAGAGACGGTAATAACGACTTGACTTACCATCTGCTGGTAGCGAGCGAGCACACGCCTAACCCACATCCTTTGGTCACCGCGTCGTAAAAGACGTTCAGGAATGTATTTATCCACAGCGGCCTGCCAGTCTCTGTGACAAATGGAGAGGTAAGAAGAAAAAACAAAAGAAACAGAGAAAACCATGAGGGCATCACGAAGGTAAAGAAAAACTTCACAGGTTAGTTCATGCAAGTCTATTGTGAACAAAACGATGAAAATGCAGGATAAACAAGCGGCAGCGGAGCAAGCGCACTAAACGCATGTATCCTGTCCCTCCAAGTTCCCTCCCGCCCTCCTCCTCCCCCTTCCTTGCCCAACTCACCACAACTAGAACCCGCACTTACATTACTTGAGCCTCTTGCAGAACATTGATGCTGGCCATGACTTGAAGGACAACTAAGGTGCACGCTAAAACAGCATCCACTGCGTACAGACCCCTAATATAATCTCCCATCGCTTGCACAAAGGATCTCTCCACAAGCACAGGGTCGTTGAGAATCTCTTCCTCCAATACAAAAAAAGGCACCTCCTGCTGGCCCCTCGCCATCTCTGCAGAATAGGGGAAGGAGGAAAGGGCAGATAGGGGAAGGAAGGCTGATGAGAGGGGGGAGGAGGAGAGGGCAGATAGGGGAAGGAAGGGTGATGAGAGGGGGGAGGAGAAGAGGACGGAAGGGGGAAGAAGGCGCGCTGAGAGATGGACAGAGGAGAGGACGTTGGGGGGAAGGAAGGTTGATGAGAGGGGGGAGGAGGAGAGGACAGAGGGGGGAAGGAAGGGTGATGAGAGGGGGAAGGAGGAGAGGGCAGAGGGGGGGAGGAAGGTTGATGAGAGGGGGGAGGATGAGAGGACAGTTGGGGGAAGGAAGGGTGATAAGAGGGGGAAGGAGGATAGGGCAGAGGGGGGGAGGAAGGGTGATGTGAAGGGGGAGGTGAAGAGGACGGAAGGGGGAAGAAGGCGCGCTAAGAGGGGGACAGAGGAGAGGACAGAGGGGGGAAGAAGGCGCGCTAAGAGGGGGACAGAGGAGAGGATGGAGGGGGAAGAAGGCGCGCTAAGAGGGGGACAGAGGAGAGGACGGAGGGGGGAAGGAAGGTTGATGAGAGGGGGGAGGAGGAGAGGACAGAGGGGGGGAGGAAGTGTGAAGAGAGGGGGGAGGAGGAGAGGACGGAGGGGGGAGGTAGGCGCGCTAAGAGGGGGAAGGAGGAGAGGACGGAGGGGGAAAGGAAGGTTAATGAGAGGGGGGAGGAGGAGAGCACAGAGGGGGGAAGGAAGGGTGATGAGAAAGGGAAGGAGGAGAGGGCAGACGGGAGAATGACGGGTGATGGGAGGGGGAAGGAGGAGAGGACGGAGGGGGAGGTAGGCGCGCTAAGAGGGGGAAGGCGGAGAGGACGGAGGGGGGAAGGAAGGTGCTGTGAGAGGAGGAAGGAGTTTATGGAGGGAGGAGGGAAGAAGGCCCGCTAAGAGGGGGACGGAGGAGAGGACGGAGGGGGGAAGGAAGGTGCTGTGAGAGGAGGAAGGAGTTTATGGAGGGAGGAGGGAAGAAGGCCCGCTAAGAGGGGGAAGGAGGAGAGGACGGTCTAGGATTGCAGTGCCATTCAGCCTCGGGATTGCACAGCATTAAGATCACAATTCTTCAGCTGCTGCTTAGCCTTATCTTGGCTTCAAAGTTGTCAATGTCATGGCGGAAATTCGTGTATCAATAGCTTAGCGATTAGCCCAAAGGATCTGAATAATGACTCACCGGGTCCTGGGGCTTGCACAGGTCCTTGCGCAGGTCCTTGTAGTAGGGGTAGCACTGCTCAAACTCCTCGTCGCTGCCGTCCGTGCAGTCGTTCTTCAGGTCGCAGTACCCGCTCACCGGCCGGCACTGGTAGCCCTCGCGACACCACGTCTGCACGTACATGCGCACACAGGGGAGGGGCGGGAGGGGGGAGGAAGAGGGGGGAAAGAGTGGAACAAGTGTAAGCGGTCGTTCTTCAGGTCGCAGTACCCGCTCACCGGCCGGCACTGGTAGCCCTCGCGGCACCACGTCTGAGTATAGGTGATGGTACGGGTGGGGAGAAGAGGGAACGAATTGAGTTGAAGGCATCAGTTGTTGTTGAGGTCGCCGTACCCGCTCACCGGCCGGCACTAGTAGCCCTCGCGGCACCACGTCTGAGTATAGGTGATGGTACGGGAGAGACGAGAGAGAAAAAAAGGCGGAGAGAGTGGGTGTGTGTGGGTGGAGGGAAGAGGTCTAGGCAGGGCAGCAGTCGTTGTTGAGGTCGCAGTTCCCGCTCACCGGCCAGCACTGGTAGCCCTCGCGAAACCATGTCTGCACGTTGATGGGGACACCGGGAAAAGAGCGATGGGGGAATATTTGGAGGAGTTTAGGGTGATCAACATTCTCTGCTCGCGCTGGCAGCAACACAGCATGAAACAGCCGAGGAGTCGAGGCACGCACTCCGCCAGTGGCAGTGAACCCTGGCTTCGGATGCCTCCAGCTTTGAAAGTTACCACGTAGTTGCGTTCCAGGGTGACGCACGACTTTGGTTACGAGTTACTCAGTAGTCTGTACTCCGACGCGGAAAATATCCAACATGGACACCTGGCAAAATATCTAGAAGGATGTAACGCCACTTCGCACACGTGGCATGTGAAACAAAAAAGTGACGAGAAGTGACGAGAACATCACTTCGCCAGGCACATTTCTGGGACTTTCTGTACAAAATTTCGGAACTCCAACATGACATTCCCGTGACTTAACTCCTTGGCACTTCTGTCCATGACTTTTCCCGTGACGCAAAATTGTCACGCAAAAGTCACGGAAACGTCACATTTCTGTGACTTTCCGGCCTTGTCAAAACCGTGACCGCTCAGCGCGGTCCTCTTAGACAACGTTGACAACGCTCAAAGGCTATTGACATCTGTGCGACATTACTAGGTCACATCCGCAGGTAACATGATAGTGGACGTCCATGACTAAAAAACGCCTAAATTGACAAACAGAGAGAAATCAGGTACTGACCTAATGATCCGACGGTAAGAAGTGTCAGCCGCGAATCGCAGCAGAATAATGCGCAGCAGAATAATGGCGGAATATGCGTTCCTATAGGAGCTATAGCTGTCTAGCTCTCCTGGTTCTTGGCGATATAGTTTCCTAGCTATTGCTCTAATGAGCGACTTTCAGTGGTGGTGGTGTCACTGGTTGTTCGTGTGGTGGTGGTGGTGTGCAGGGCTGTCGCTACAAGTGCAAATGCCTAGGTCCCCGAATTTAAGGGTTGAGTTTCAGGTCAGCCCGTCCGCCTAAAGTGCTGTGTTCGGGACTAGCCCGGATTTCAAGTATCAGTCTTGGGGCTAGCTCCCTCCCCCTTCGAACCGATTCCTCCCCGACCCGCTCCATTTCCCGTCATCCCAGGCCCAGGTGCAGTATGACTTTCCCAAGAGCCAGTTCCGACATACTCTGACACTCTCAAGGTCGAGGCCAGAACCGTTATTTTTCGAAGTCAGAATCCGAGCTGAAAGTCAGAAAGGACCTAAAGTAGTATAGAAGAAAACTTAGTGCTAGATCTAGGACAGGGCTACTCAAGTACTAGAGAGGTCCCAACACTTCACTTCACATTTACAACTTCGAGTGGGTTCGGCGTTGTTGCCGATTCTTTCCGCTAAGTGACAATCAGGTGCGTGACGAATCAATTCGGATGGCAGTGCAAATCCAGGACGATCTCTTGTCTTAGCAAAAGTGCATAACACTTTGTAGCCCTGATTTAAGTGTTGAGTTTAGCCCCAAAACGTAAATTTAAGGGCACATTTCGGGGCAGCTCAGCCTTAGTTCTCGCCCCAGAGCAATCGACAGCCCTGGTGGTGTGTTTCGAATGCCTGACTTCCTCGCTGCGCCTTGGGAATTGTCAGGCACAGATGCAGGGCGGGAATTGATTTGAACGGGTTCCTTCGATACGAAACTCTTCGAAACATTGTATAGTCTCAAACTTTTTCTGAAACAAGGTATCCAGAACCTCTACACACTGTGCTGTGTATCCATCGATCAATAAGTTTGTTCTTTTAAAAATTTGTGCATAACTGTGAGCCTTATCTGAAGAGCATGTGGTGTATAGTTACCGTAATGCCTGGACCTGCCGTAACCGCGGACCGATTATAAGCGCATGCGGAAAAAACGTGTTTTACTATAAGCAAAGCACATGTGCGCTATATCCGGGGTAATACGATAAGTAACAAGAACTTATGGGCATCCATTATTACCCGCATTATGATAATTAACATTTACGCAGGCAGGTTTTACCCGGGGTTGGGGCGCTCACTCGATGGTGCATGCCAGCAGCACTACTACCATTCCACAATTGGTGTTGTCCGGGGCACCTGGCCTGTCCATTTTGAATGACAACCAGTCGCAAGGTTTCAAAAAGTCACTCGCTGCACACAAGATGTGTCACATCTTCAAACATTCAAATCTTTGGTGATAGCTCCGCTTTGTTGAATTGGGTAATGGTTGCTAAAAAAAAAGCTTGACGGGTTCAGTAGTACCGAAACATTCTCCATCAGCTCCTATTGGCTCACGTTTACTTTCACACCTCCCCTCCACCACCAAATCTCCTACAACGGAAATCGCCCAACGCGCATGGGCGGGTGGCTGATTGGGGCGCCTAGGGAGGGTGCGTTGGGGCGCCTAGGGAGGGGCGCCTAAGATCCGTCACCTGCGCACACAGGGGGCCGGGCGCACACACATGCACATTCACGCACACAAGCTCACATAGCGCCTCAACCCAAGATCGCTGTGTGAATAAGAAGGTGCAAATGATAGGCAGCAGGAGTGCAGGGGGGAGGTGAAGGTGTGTGCATGGAGAGGGAGGCACGGACCATGCCCTCCATGTTGGAGGTGAAGTGGCCGCCGCACTCCTGCTTGAGCTTGGTGAGAATGTTGTGCTCGTGGTTGCCGTTCGCACTCTTGTCAAACAACAGCCGCCGCGCGTGTGGGGCCGGTACCGAGGGCAGGAGAGGTGATGAGCGGCATGAGCGGATGGACTAAGAAGGGCATGTATGGGTAGAGCGGTATTACTCAAATTACTGATATGTACGGCGGAGATGCGATGCATACAAAAACAAATAACGAAGCGCATGCAGAAGCGGAGAAGAATGGCTTAAACATGGAGGCGGGGGAAGGACATACCGTCGTGGCGGAAGATGGTGGCGATGGGCTGGAGGCCGTTGGGGATGCGACAGCAGAGGCAGTACATGCGCGACAGATGGTCCTCCTCCTGCCACCACGCACACATGCGCACACCCACCCCGCAATGCCATGGCGCGCACACCACAATGCCATGGCACGCACAACACGACAGTTTCTTAGGCGCGCGCTCATGCATGCGAGAACGAGGCCGCGCGCACGAGCAGCGTGGTGCGGCGCAGGATGAGCCACGCACTGGGGAGGGGAGGCAGGGGGCACGGGGAGAGGGATGAACAGGGACATGGAGAAAGAGACGAGGCAAGGGAGAAAGGCGGTGGCAGAGCGGAGAGGCGTGAGGGCGTGCCTTGAGGTCGTGCAGCAGAGCTCGGCAGCCTGAGCTACCCTTCTCCAGCAGCTGCTGCTCGCACTGCGTCAACTGCCCGTGCTGCACCTTCTGCTCCCGCCTCCACCCGCCACACCACGCAACCAGGAAGAAGGCGAGGGTGAGGGTGGTAAAGGGAAGGGGGGGGGGGACGATGGGGGATAGAGATGACGCAAGCGGTAGCAGCGAGCGAAGCCAAACGCAAAGTGGGCACAAAGTAGCAGCGAGCAAAGTAGCACTCCTCCCCACCACGGCCGCGCATGCACGGTCGCTTATCAGCCAGAGGAGTGAAGGCAGGCGAAAGCCGAGAGGTGGTGTACCTGGAGCAGCTTGCCTTCAGTGGACGGAAAAAAGACGAAAGGCACGGCGCGTCGAAACTGGACGGGAAAGAAGTGTAAGGGAGGACGAATTACCAAGGCTCGGATATAGCCCTCAAATGGTCACACTCTCTTACTTCACCCACCCTCTGTAACAAACGCTCAACGGTCGCTGCCACTCTAGCCCACTCCTCCCATCCCGTACGCTCTCCATGCCCAGGAAGACGAGAGCATGCCATGCCATGCCATGCCATGCCATGCCATCCACAAAGCGCCAGCTCTCGCCGCCCATGCTCCCATGCCATCCGCCCACCGCTGCCTGCCTGCCGCCGTTGCACATCTCCACGTCCTCCCCTCTCCTCCCCTCCCCATGTCCAGTGCGCCGCCCGCCACGTCAAACTGCACGCGCGGAGGGGGGAGGCGGAGCGGAAGGGGGGGAGGATACGTGGGAGAGTTGTGCGTGCGGAAGTGCGCATGACGAGAGTGCGCACGCGGAGTTGTGCGCATACACGGGGATGGCGAGGGCGAGGGGGAAAAGCGAGAAGCGGAGCATAGTCAGGGGGGGGTCGACGGAGGGCCGGGCCGGGGGGAGCGCAATGCGAAATGCGCGCTCAGTCGCGTGACGGCGACGCACCTTGTCGCGTCGCTCCGTCCCTGCGACGCTCGTGTCGCTCGGTGCGCGCGACGCGTTCGTCCTCCGTGAGGCCGCGTCGCACACCACCATCGCCTCGCATCAATGCACGCCCGCCCGCCGGGTACGAAAGCCGCGCCGCGCCCTCATCCCGCTCCTGTCAGCGAATTGGACATCGCCACGTTGCGCGGCGCTACTACGGCACCGCGCCTCGACTGCTGCGGCACGGAGCGGCTTGACGTACGCGCAGCAGCACGAGTGCGGCGCGCCTTCGGGTATTTGCGACGTATGAGGCAGGCCAGCGGCCGGCAGGGCTCCCGCGGCCACGGGGACGCGAAAGAACATGTGGACGGATGGCGAGGGAGGGAGGGAGGGAGAGAGGAATAGCTAGTAATGGGTGCGGAGATAGGGAAAAAGGAAATGACTTGATGTACCGCGTGCAACATCAAGGCTGCTCAGAAGGCCCCAGTCAGGGTGGGCCAACTCGCCACGATTCCGCTCCTCGCGTCTCGCCAATTCCGCTCTAAAACCTAAACCAATTCCGCCATTCGCGGTGGATCTTGGGGTGAAGTTGCGGTTGAGCGATGGACCTGGGGGTGAGCGATTCCTTCGCTTGGCGTAGATGGCCGTCGCGCCCCTGTTAGGCAATCGCGACTGCGAGCGTAGGTCGTGACCTCTCGCTGAAACTATTAAAGCATGGCATTTCCTAATTTGCGTTATCCCCTACCATACATGTTCGCAATTCACCGATCTCCGAAACGCGATCTAATAGACTGCGTAAGCCATGTTTATGTGCAGTCCGTCAGCATCTTACTAGCGGAGGTACTTTCAAGTGCGGCGGAACTAAGAATCACAGCTGAGTGTCTTGATCTGCTTTTCCTGGTAAAGGTGGGCGATTTGTGTCTTGCCGTTTTGGTTGGTCGCACGCAAGTGCGATTCTGCCAGGTACGTTTTTCAGGTGTGGTAGCTTTCCATGCCTGAGGGGATCGTTTGGCTTTGACTGGACGAACTGACGTTTCGTCTGTGTATTTCAAACTGCTCGTCACAAATTTCGCCTCTCGTAACCCAATCACAGGTGCTTTAGCCCAACCAAGTGTAATCCCGTAGAAAATATGAGACGCGGGTTTTAAAGCCCGCATCCCAAATTGCGGACCGCGAGGGTCAAGTTTTAAAAACTTGACGAAGTTGAGTGTCCAAGCTTTTGAAAGTCACGCACTTGCAATTTGGGACTTTCGAAGACAGATTCACTCACTAGGTGGAAAACCGAGGCTTGGCTAGGTCTCGGTTGGGGCATGTGGGGCGGAGCGGGCGGCGGAGCGCGGGCTCAACGAGTTCGATGAGGCGCGCGGCTGGCATCAAACAGGGATTTACATCAAATCTACCAGTTGCTCTCATTCGTCAGTAGTTGAAGCATCAAACTCACACCTTTCTCAGCCGCGCGCTCTCCCCGTGCGTCACGGCAACGCCCTCCGCCCTCTCGCCTTGGCCCGCCTCGCCGTCACGCGCCCCTCGCAGCGTCGCGCGCAGCCCTTCCGCTGCCGCTCCTGCTCCGACCGCTGCTGCCCGCACTGCCGACCACGCCGCGCGCCTCGAGAAGCACGCCCGTCGTCCGCTCTCGTCCGCTCTCGTGGCGCCGCGCGCCGTGCTGCGCGCCAATCCAATCCCTGCGCGCGAAAGCAGGGCAAACAGGTGCGGCTCACTGCACGTTATCCGTTGCAATCTTGCGACGTGCAAGTGCCCTCTCGCTGCCATCTGCTTCTGCCTTGCGTTATGCTCTCCGCCCTGCCATGTGCTCTGCTGTGTGCCTGCGTCACACCACCCCTATGCCTGCCTGCTCGCAGGTGATGCTGTGCGCGCCTATGGGGCGGGCAGCGCAGCGGCTGGAGGAGGCGACGAAGCGTTATGCTCTCCATCCCTGCGTTCAGAGGAGGGTGCGTGCTCCTCTGCCCTGTGTCATGTGCCATGGGCCATGTGTGTTGCACCCCATCACATGCCTTACCAATGCAATGCCCCACATGGCCATCACAAGGTTCTCATTCGCCTGCTATGCTGCTACATTCGCCCATGCCTTGTGTCGTTGCCCCTTTATCCTCCACCCCAGCCTGTACTCCCCCCGCCACCCTCCTACACGTTTTGCCGAGCGCGTGCCTGTTGTGGGTGTGTGAACGGGGCAGCAGGTGTGGGCTTGAGAAGGTGCACGGGCTGACGCACATATTTCGCCAGGCGCAGCAGTCGCACATATTTCGCCAGGCGCAGCAGTCGCACATAGTGCAGCACGCCCACGCCATCCGCAACGCCTCCCGCCCCTCCTTCCACTCGCCCTGGCCTCCCTCTCCGCTGCCGTCGCCTCTGGCCTCTCCTCCCTGCCTCCCACCCACCACCACCACCACCACCACCACCACCACTGATGCTGATGCACCTGCTCCCTCGGTCCCTCGTGCCGCTCTTTGGCGGGGGACCAGTGGTGGACCAATCTCACCTCCGACTGTGTGCTCCTGCATGTGCGTTTACACTTCAACCCGTCGTGCTCCTCCGTCTCTCCTTCCCCATCTTATTCCCACCTTCATTCCTCCACTCACTCACTTTCACCACCCATCACGTCTGTCCACTGGTTCCCTGAGTCCTTGGCCGGCGCTAAATAGTGATTCTTCTCCTCCGCTCACCTCTCCCCACTTTCTTCTCTCTTTCTTTCCCTCCTCTCCTTCCCCATACCATGTAGTCGCCCATATGTCTCCCCATCCATTCACACTCCCGTTCACACGCAACTCTCCCTGCGCCCGTCCCCCATGCCCTTGACCGCCAGGCTCGATTGCACTCGGATGTGCTCACACGCATGCTGCCGCACCTCACAGCATCGCCGTGGGACGACGTGCAGGAGGTTCTGAGATGGAAGGAGGGGAGGTGCTGAGATGACTTTTTCCTTCAACATACCACCCGCCCTCCTCCTGGCAGCGACTGCAGCAGCTGTTGAACTCGCTCAGCAGGTGAGTCGCTCAGCAGGTGAGTCGCTCAGCAGGTGAGTCGCTCAGCAGGTGAGTCGCTCAGCAAGTCATGGGCGGTTCATCAGTAGTCACATGAGCATCCCACCACAAGCCCCCGCACACTGCTCACACTCAGAGCGCACACCACGGCTGGCTGCATGTGCCAATGCCCCTCTCTCCCCACCGCCTCACTGCCATGCGCCCTGCCTTATGCCACGTGTGCGCGTGTGCATGGGTGCCATGGGGTGAGCAGCGCAACGACTACATGTTGGATGTGAGCAGCGGCGACCTGGGGGGCATCACCAGGAGCGTTTTTGAGAGTTCTCAGAAGCGATCACCAGGATCGTGCACGGCGACAAAAAGGTGTGATGCGCCTCCATACAGCGCCGCTTGCCTGTACCAGTGCTTGTGGTTCTGCTGCTGCCTCCTGAGCTCCCTTGCACCAATGCGTGTGTGCACACGCTGTGCCATGTGCCCCCTCCCATGCTCCCTCTCCCTTTGTCTCTGGCTGCGTGTGTGTGTGTGTGTGTGTGTGTGTGTGTGTGTGTGTGTGTGTGTGTGTGTGTGTGTGTGTGTGTGTGTGTGTGTGTGTGTGTGTGTGTGTGTGTGTGTGTGTGTGTGTGTGTGTGTGTGTGTGTGTGTGTGTGTGTGTGTGTGTGTGTGTGTGTGTGTGTGTGTGTGCACCTGTGTGAGTGTGTGAGGGCGAGTGTGAGCAGGTGGAGGTGCATATGGGCCACAGCCGCCGCCCCACAGCGAGTCATCTACACCAACGACCATCTCAAACACCTCACTCAAGCATGGGTGCACACAACATGCCTCTCGCCCTAATCTATTCCTCATGCTCCTTCTCCCCCGCCCCCTGTCGTTTACTTCTTTCCCTCGCACTTTCTGTCACCTCGTTCCAGTTCCATGTCTCCCACTAGCGATGCGCCCTCCTGTCCTGCTTCACTCACACTATCCATCTGCCACTCGCCCTGTTAAACACAGAAGCTTAGGTTCTCTCATCGTGCCGCTTCTTGTCATGTGCCACGGAGCCATGTCATCTCCTCGCCAGCTCAGCACGTTGTCCTGATGATGTGTGTGGCATGGGTGGTGGCAGAGCATCACGGTGCACAAGGCTCAGGGCAGTGGATACCCCATCGTCATCCTCCCACTTTCTGCTGACTATGGCAACTTCTTCAGGTCTGCTCCATGCACCATGCACCATGCACCATCCTCCATGCACCATGCACCATGCACCATGCACCATGCACAATGCTCCATGCACCATGCACCATGCTCCATGCACCATGCACCATGCTCCATGCACCATGCACCATGCTCCATGCACCATGCACCCTACAACCAACCATTTCTCTATGTACCACTACACTCTGCACACACAAACTTCCTGCCCCATCATTCGTCGCCCATCCACAATGCATGCATCCCATCCGTGCCCCCATGCTGTGCACCACGTGCGCGTGCCCCAGTCGCAACCTGCTGTACACGGGGCTCACGCGAGCGCCCAAGTTGGTGTTCCTCATCGGCCGAGAGGAGGAGGCCAGGGCAGCGCTGCACCGCACCGCACACGGCAGGAGCACTGCCACACGCGCCTGCTGCACCGCCTGCTCGAGTACTGCCAGAACCGCACTGGCGACTCCACTCCACACACGGCCCTGTCCCAGTCCCACCCTCGCACAACCCGTAGGCTCAACGGCTCTGCTTTTCTACTCATTCCCCCAAAAGGAGGGGGGTTGTGATGCGGTGTAAGATTATACGTAGGTATCTAGTGCGAGGCTTCCTGCCAGCCTCCTTATTCATTGCCCCTGCCAGCCTCCTTATTCATTGCCATCATGCAACAATCTGCCAATGGCTTATGATAGTGCATTCTCTTTTTCACACATGTGCCTCCATACTGCAGCTAACTGGTAACTGGATTGTCCTACACCTGTAGCTCATATTGTTGGGCTGAACGCTCTAAAAGTGGTTGAGTAGATTCCTTGTAATTGAGCTCTAAGCTAACTCTTCCTTCCCAGCAATACATAGCCTTGGATAATTACCATACAACGATATGAGAGGAGCAAGATGGCATGCCGACCATCATGCTGAGTGAGACGCACATGCATTGTGCATTGTGCGCGTGTGGCTTGAGCTTGGCAGCATGACAGCAGCACACCGTAGTTGCAATAAGAGCTCGAGGGTGTGGGAGACCAGCACGCAGGCATCCCAATGCCCTTGGGCCACTTTCACTCCCACTGCAACGTCACGCAGCTGAGTCACTGTGGAGGTCCACTGTGAGCTTGAGCGTGCGCGCCACCTCCTCCGCTATTCGCCTCTTCTCCACCAACACTGCTCCCGTGTTGATGCACACACACATGCACATACGGATGCACACAGACGTGCACACACACGTGCACACACGCATGCCCACACGGTGCAGATGCTTGGGTTGAAGAAGACGGGGTGGGATGAGAAGTTGCTGGAGAGGAGACAGGGTCAAGCTTGAAAGGCTCGCGGTGAAGCAGATGAGGTGCGGAGGAGGCAGAGGGCACGGGAGGTTGTGCAGAGTTGGAGGTTTGCAAGTGGATGGAACTATTGGAGCTGCCTGACATGGCCTTGGGTGCTGTTGCAGGCTCACTTGCAGTGCTGTTGTCAATGCTGCTAGGGATTGCTGAAGGCCTTGGATCAACCTTGCATGGCTGGCCATAGGTTGAAACGATTCCTCCATCGATGCTGCTGCAAGCACCACTGCTGCCAGCACCACTGTTCTCAGTATTAGCACCACTACCGCTGCTGTTCCAACGTCCATTTGCACCTTTATCCTTCTCACTCGCACTCTCATTCCCCATCCCACTTCCACTTGCGTTCCCAATACCAGATTCAGTTGTCCCTCCTGTCCCACTACCACTCCCTGTTCCCGACCCATTACCACTCCCTGTTCCCGACCCACTACCACTCCCTGTTCCCGACCCACCCTCTTGCCCCCCATGAGCGCCCCTTGACTGCACCGCGAGTATGATTGGAGGGCTTGATGTCGCGGTGAATGATGTGGGGCGAGCACTCGTGGTGCAGGTACTTGATCGCCTTGGTCAGCCCCATCGCATCGCAATGCTCAGCCTCGCCTCCCATTTATTGAAGCCCTCCTCGGGTGCAGCCTCCCTCCTCCTGCAAAGCAGGTCCTCCAAGCTGCCCCCAGCAATGTACTCATGTCACCAGCTGCCTCGCTCCTCCACCTGCACCTCCTTGATCGCCTGCACCTCCTTGATCGCCTGCACCTCCTTGATCGCCTGCACCTGCACACACACCGCACAACCGCACCTCCTTTCCCCCCACCGCACTCACCTGCCCTTTCCCCCCACCGCACTCACCTGCCCTTTCCCCCACCGCACTCACCTGCCCTTTCCCCCCACCGCACCCACCTGCCCTTTCCCCCCACCGCACTCACCTGCCCTTTCCCGCCACCGCACCCACCTGCCCTTTCCCCCCACCGCACTCACCTGCCCTTTCCCCCCACCGCACTCACCTGCCCTTTCCCCCCACTGCACTCACCTGCCCTTTCCCCCCACCGCACTCACCTGCCCTTTCCCCCCACCACACTCACCAGAGCAACTTCTTTGACACTGACAGTTTCCCCGACCCCGTCTCGCCACACACAGCACTGCTGCTCCCCGCGGCCTCCATCTCTTCGCCCTCCCTCGCCACCACTGGCAGCCCTACGCCCTACCCCTTGTGCTTCAATGTCCACGCAAAGCTGCACCCACAGCTTGCCCCCTCTCCCGGCCTCCCCTCTCAGTTCCGTCTCTGTACCACTTCCTTCCTCTGCAGAGCCTGCACGTCAGCCGGGGGGGTCAGCCCCTGCTTTCACGAACGCCATGGCATGCTGCACCTTGTGCTTGCTGCTGCCCGCCTGGAGGGGGTTAGGGGCGGATCGGGCAGTCAGGCAGGGGGTAGGGGGGGAATGGGAAGGAGTGGGGTGAGGCAGGGGGGAGAGAGGTGCCGGTTCGAGCTGCCCTGCTTGCACAAACCCCAGCTGCTGCCACTCTGGGAGCGTCAGAGGGGGTCGGGCAATGGGAGAAGGGGGCGGTGAAGGGTGGCGGGTATGACGGATAGAGAGGAAGAGGTGGGTGTGGGGAGTGGGCAGGAGAGAGGCGGGCAGAGAGGTGTGGTGGGGAGGAAGGGAGGAAGGTGACAGGGGGGTGGGTCGGTGGGGAGGAGAAGAGGGAGTGAGTGAGCACGAAAGCGGATAAGTGTGGGGCCGAGGGCAAACATGCACCCACGTCCGACGCGGCGAAGGGCAGCGCCGCGACCTTCCCCCGTCCCACTGCACCCTCCCCTCCCCACCTTCCCGTCTCCCCACTGCGCCCTCCCCCGCGACCTCCCCTCTCCCCACCGTGCCCTCCCCTCCCCCGTCGTCCGCCTCACCTGGCGACCGCGCGTCGTTCGTCGCGGCGGAGGGCAGCGCCGCGCGCTCCTCCGCGCGCTCCTCCGCACGCTCCTCCGCACGCACAGCAAAATACAGTCGCAACTGTCTTGTTTTCTTTACCCTGAAATTTACCTCCGCGCGCACCTCCGCGCGGATGAATCAGGAAGGAGAGGCGCGGGCAGAGAGGGTGTGGTGGGGAGGAAGGGGGGAAGGTGACAAAAAGTGGGGGTCGGTGGGGAGGAGAAGAGGGGGTGAACAGGAATAGCGGGGGCAATCATGCACCCATGTGCGACACGGCGAAGGGCAGTGCCGCGAACTTCCCCCCTTCTCACTGTGCCCTCCCCCCACCACCTCCCCCCTCCCCACCGCGCCCTCTCCTCCCCGCACCCCCCTCGTCCGCCTCACCTGGCGGCCGCGCGTCGTTCGTCGGCCGTGCTGTCCTTGTGCCTGCTCAGGAACCGGTCGGGCATCTTCAACTGCTGCGGGTTGCCCACTATCACCATCAGGATCTCCAGCTCCGCTGCCCATAGCTCGCCCGCCCTGCCAGGCCCCTTCCCCCCCCACCCACCCCCGCGCCCGCCGCACACACACACGCACACACAAAGGGCAGAGGGAGGGAAGGGACGCGCACGTATGAGCGGACCAGCTCAAGCAAGTGGATGGTGATGAAACCCTAGATTCGGAATACCGCTACAAAACGGTGGTTATGAGCCCATACTTGTGGCCGCCCACACTGAAAATGGTAACGCATGGTGTGACACGGTACGACACTGCAAGGGCGGTGAACGGTGCGCGTTCAACCCAATACGGCTCACATTCTGGCCCGGCACCCGTAATACTGCCTTGATTGGTCGCGCAAACAGGGTAGCAACATGCGAATTCACACTCGAGCCAGAGTTACCCGCGTGAAGCTGCAGGCAGCACCGGGCAGTCAGGAATGCGAAGAACCGACAGGTGACGCATTATACACGACGAAGAAACGAGAGGAGCAGCAAGTTGCCGGGGATACGGCGCGCGCGAGGGACGCGGGTGAATAAGAGTGATAGGACGTGGTGAATGGGGGGATGAGGTACAGCGTAAAGAACGGCGGGAGAGAGGAAGGTCAGAGAGAGCCGACGAGTGAGACGAGTGCGACGGCGACACGAGAGAGAGGGAGAGCGTCCATGTCGGCCTTGTTGCAGACGCTGTTAGCGAAGCGGCGGCCTATACAGCGGATGGAGGAGAGCGCGTTCATGATCTTGGTGCGGCCGTCCACGGTGGTGTGCAGCACGCGCAGAGCAGAATGTGCTCACACCCCCCTCGCTCGCCACGAGCGCCTACCGACCACCACAGCACATCCATGCCGCGCACCCACACACGCACAACATGCACACACTGGTGGAGATCGCCCTCGACCTGGGCCGTCGGCAAGTCGCACGGTTCCCCGTGGGTGACACTTTTGTGAGTGAAGAGGTGGTAACAGCGGGCGGCATTGAGTGCTCGCAGGTAGCGCCCTCATTATCTCCCTCTCCCCTCGTCCCCCTCTCCCCTCCTTCCCTCTCCGCGCCTTCCCCTCCAGGCAGGTTGGAGAGTTCGGGTGCGCACCTGCGGTGTGCACGGCCAACAGCGTGTGCCCGCCCTCGTGGTACGCCGTCAGGCAGCGCGTCTGCGGGGAGATGATGGCGGTGAGGGGGAGGGTGAAAGGGAGGATAAGAGGGAAGAAATGGAGCCGAATATGTGGATGCAGCACCTATGCACACAGTACCCATGCCCACCTTGCGCAAATGGTGCTCCAGAATCTGCCGCCGCCCCTCCACGTCCCACGTGGCGGGGAACCAAGGCCCGGCCCACCCAATCACACTCCACCCACCCCAATCACAGGCCCAGGTTAGGCACAACCACGTGGCGGTCGAACCGCTGTGGGCGCACGAGCGCCTTGTCACGGCTCTCGGGGAAGTTGGTGGCAGCGACGACAATCAACCCCCCTGGTTCTGCTTGAGCGTCGCGTCATTCCCATGCACTGCACTCCACTGCTGGCCCTTTGGGTTGCGACTCCCGCCGATGGCATCTATCTCGCCCAGAAACACGGTGCACGGGGCGGCCTTGTTGGCGGCAAAGAGCTCGCGGTCGCGGCGTGCAGCGGCGCGGACAAGCATGTCGGTGAACGCGGAGCCGGACGCGGAGAACAAGGGCATTTCGCCTCGTCCCCTATCGCCCGTGCTAGAATCGTCTTGCCCCACCAGCAGCACTCCCTTTGGCAGCTTTCCGCCCAGGCATGTGACCCACTGTGCGGGGGGGCCCCGGGGCAGGGGGAGCAGGGGAGAGGGTGCGGGGAAGGTGAGATACAAGGTGCGAGGAAGGGGGAAAGGATAGTGAGGTGGGACAGTGGAAGAGTATGAATGAATGGCAGGGATGGACTCGGAACAGGAGCTAGACACTGAACGGACGGGGGAGTGAAAGGCCATGCCATTGGGGTGTTGCAGGAGGCCTCACCCTTAAAGAAAAGAGGGATGGGCGAGTGAGAGGGAGCTCAGCTTGGGGTGGCGCAGGTAGAGCACGATCTCTTGGAGATCCGCCTTGGCCTATCCCTGCCCTTCACATCGCTGCACTGAACCGCGTGCCACTCTCCGCCATCGCTGCACCTTCTCGCTCAACCCCAGCCCTGCCAACCCGGAAGGGGGGAGAGGCGGGAGGGACGAATTCGGAAGGAGGAGAGAAGTGCGCAGCTGAGGCGGGAACGGAGGGACGGAGGTGGGATGAGGGAGAGGCATAGCGAGGCAGGTACCAACCGATAGCTCATGCTCACTGCAAGAGGGCATGCACCGACTCACATCCACCCATCCCGTCACCCCTCCACACTCACTGTTCCCTTCTTCTCATTCCCTCCCTCCCCCACCCCCCCTCAAGTGTCTTCCTCCTCTATACCCTCCCACACCTGCTCCGCTCTCCACGCGCCCTGCAGCAATGCTCCCTCGCTCTGCCCATCACCTGCCCCACGCTGTCAAAGCGCCATTGTGCTTCTCTGCGCAATCCCCTCCGGCGTGTGAGGGCAACGAGCCGGGTGCAACGCCTGCACTGCCACCACCACCTGCCTGCCACGCTCCCTCTGCTGCGCCTGCTTGCTGCACCTCCGCAAACGACGCTGGCGTTGCTGCTGCCGACGCCTCCTCCCTGCCCCCCGCCTCCCCCTCCCCCGCTGCGCCCACCTGCTGCTCCTGAGCCTGCGGCACCTGCTCTTGCCCTTGCCCTCGCCTCTGCACCTCGTCGCTGTCCCCCCCTGCCCCTGGTGCCGTCACCGCATGTGTGCTTCTCGCCTGCCGTACGCCGTGCGAGCACCCACCAGCCGCCCACTCATCCACAGCCTTTCCAGCCCCCCACCACTCTGCGCCGCCCGTCCCCCCTACCTCCGCCACCTTAATCTTCCCCACGTGGCCGCCCCCACCTGCGCATTACCAGCACTGCTCCCCCAGTCAGCGCCCACCACGCATGAGCGCGCGGAGTAGGGGGGGGGGCTGCTGGTGACGGGGGGCGCGCGCGGGGCGAGGAGGTGCCGCGCGGACAGGCACGGTAGTATGGGGGAAGGGACGCGCGGGGAGTCGCGGCCAGCGAGCCACGAGATCGGGCGACAGGCGTGCTTCTCGAGGCGCGCGGCGTGGTCGGATGCGGGCAGCAGCGGTCGGAGCAGGCGCGGCAGCGGAAGGGCTGCGCGCGACTCTGCGGGGGGCGGGTGACGGCGAGGCGGGCCAAGGCGAGAGGGCGGGGGGCATTGGCATGGCGCGCAGTGCGGGCGCGGGGGGCAAGGCGTTGCAGAGCGGTGGCGGGAGGGCGGCGCAGTGCATGGCGATTGGCGGGAAGGCGTCAGCGCGCGAGAAGGCGAAGTGGAGGAAATTGAAGGAGCAGTAAGGAGTGCGCGTAGAGTGGGGCCCTGCCAGCCGCGCGCCTCATCGACCTAGTCTTGCCCGCGCTCCGCCGCCTCCTCTGCCTCACATGCCCCAACCGCTCCCCTGCTCCTATCGCGGTGAAAGTTCACAGCTGGCTTGGGAAAGAAGGGCTGGAAAGGCGCGCGATCCGCCCGCGAGGAACTGAGAACTAGTTGCAGCGCCCTTTGGAGCTGATATTGTGTTGGCAACGATGTAGCTCGATTTAGGCTTTTTGATATAGAATCTCAGACTAAATCGTATATCTGGTTTATATATAGATTTGACTGTCACTTACACGACCCCAATTTGAAATACAAGGACATTCATGCACGAAATAATAATATTGACTCTGTTCGAATACTGAATTTATATATCCAAATCTCCCCAATAAGATTCAAATTTGGGTAATATTTTCACTTCTATGCATTAGAAAGCTGCATTGTAGCTGGTACGGTCAGGCCTCTCTATGTGTTTTTGACCACCCTGCCAGAAACGAGTCGTTGCCTACCTTCACCCTGCCACTGCAGTGTGCCAATCGCGGCATACTCAGGAAATGGCAGGGTGCTTTGTTCTTTCTTGTCGGAATTGGCAGGGTAAAAAGTTTCGTTCACGCTGAGCGAGCTTAGAGTGCTCGAGGGAATTGGCCAAGTTTCCAGTGTGTCCCAGGGACTTGTATTTACCCGTTTGTTCGGTGACGCGCCGAATCCCAGAGTGCTCGAGTGACTTTAGCCAAATTTCCAATGTGTTTCAGTGACTTAGCCAAATTTTCAGTGTGTTTCATGACTTCCCTGAATGTCCAGTGTGTTTCGGCGACTTGAGCGAATTCCCAGAGTGATTCAGCGAGTCAGACACATTTCCTGTGTATTTCAATGACTTGGTCGCATTTCCAGAGTTTCGGTGTGTTAGCCAGATTTACCGACTAGCCGGAATTCGAGAGGATGATGAGCCCTAGCAGGGTAAAAATGTCTTAGACTCGGGAACGGCAGGGCTGACAATACTCTCTTACCTTGAATTGAAGGGTACATCATTACTCATGTCAATGCATGTCAGGGCGGTACAATCGTCCAAGTCAGTTTCATCAGGATTACTTGGAACAATCACTCTGAAAAACGGGCTAATCAGGAAAAAACACCCTGACTTCCTGGGGCCTGGGCTGGATGTGTTACACGCGAACACATTGACCAGTCGCAAAATGTTGTGCACGCACCACTCGAGGCACTGCTCGGTGGGCCATTTCATTGGTCACTGAATTGCCAGCAACCCCACTCAGTGCCTCGAGGGCCTCGGCTCGATTTGAAGTTTGAACTAGAAGGAATAACACTCTGACAGCGACACGACAGAATCCATGGCAGCCCCGAGGTTGTCATTGAGGTTGTCATGGCTGTCCAGCAGGGCAAGCCATCCGTTCCTAGGTCTGTTGCGTTTTTTGTTATTGTTTTTTCACACCCAAGCCAGAAGAGATTCAGGCATTATCTGCAAGTCCGCAGACAAACACACAGGGAGCCTGTTTGGCCACGCCTTGTTTCTTGTAGGTCGGAAAGCAGTCACGATTGGCGAAACGAGTCGTTTAGGAGCCACGATCCATGTAGCGCCGGGTGAATCGAAGGTATTCCTGAGGCGTCGAAGGTTAGGAGCCGAAGGGAGGCGGCGGCCTGTACACGATTTTTCTAACGGCGTTTCAGCTTTTCGGACCAACACTGCCTTCGAGCGAAGGCGACCTTGCAGGCTGACAGAAACACTGTTTCTAGCGGAAAGAGGATTCGAGGTAGAGCACCACTGTGATCCCTGTGATCCGGATCTGAGCTACAATGCTATCAAATCTGCCATTATGAGTCACGCGGTACCATACCTGCGTACGGCAGCTCTGTTGGGCCGTCTTTTGCAACGCATTGTGTGTCGTTGCACTGTGTACACGTGAACGCGTGCGTTGTATTTGGCGAAAAGCGTTATGCATAGTCGGACTTGCCTACGTACTTGGAATGCGCTAAATCCCTCTCCTTCCTCTCATATCCCCCTCTGCTTCCCCCCATTTCGGCCGTTGCTGATCCCTTACACCTCCCTATGCTTCCCCTCGTTTCCTCCTCTGCTTAGACTCATTTCCCGGCCCTCTCCTTCCTCTCATATCCCCCTCTTCTTCCCCTCGTTTTATCATCTCGCCTCCAGGCCAGAGCATCTCCCGATCCTAGGGCCCAGCTATGGTACACAACAGTAAGGCTCAGATTTAATAGCGAGCATCGGTGGCGCCTTTTGTCCCTCTCACACCTGCTCCCCGCTCCCCCCACCTACCCTGGGTCTCGTCCAATCAGGCTCCCCCAACTCTCTCTCTTCCCCTGCCCGAACCCTCTCTTCCCCCCTTGCAGGCCCTGCTGTGGTGCGCAGGAGGGAGGCTCAGAGCCGGGAGCCTAGAGACGACTAGAAAGGGTCAACCTTCTTCTTCAACTCTCTGCAAGGCCTGCGGTGTGCGCCCACCCTGCTCCCCCTCGCGTACCATTCGCGCAGCCCGGCTGTGATCCTTGCGCATCTGCTAAGCCTCCACTTCCATGCTTCACCTCTCCCCCACCCACTTCCCACCCCTCTCTCCCCTCATCGCAAGCCCCGTTGCGGTGCGCAAGAGGGGTGCCGGGAGCCAAGTACGACTCATAAGGGTCGTCCTTCTGTTCCTTTTCATTGACCTTCTTTAGGCTTTCATGCTAGTGCCGTGGCTTGGGAATAGGCAGTGTGACACTCTGCTTGTGTGTGTGCTGAGCTACAATGCTATCAAATCTGCCATTATGGGTCACGCGGTACCATTGCCTGCGTACGGCAACTCTGTCGGGCCGTCTTTTGCAACGCATTGTGTGTCGTTGCACTGTGTACACGTGAACGCGTGCGTTGTATTTGGCGAAAAGCGTTATGCATAGTGGGACTTGCCTACGTACTTGGAATGCGCTAAATCCCTCTCCTTCCTCTCATATCCCCCTCTGCTTCCCCCCATTTCGGCCCTTGCTGATCCCTTACACCTCCCTATGCTTCCTCTCGTTTCCTCCCTATCCCTCCCTATGCCTCCCTATGCATCTCCCATCCTACCCATCTCCTTCCCCTCCCGTCTCTCCCCACTTCCGCCCCCATCTCACCTCCATTCCTTCCCATCTCATCTCCCATCACTCCATGCCTCCTCATCTCTCTTTCCAGCCACCATCGCCCATTCATGCCTCCCATCTCCCATGGGACCTTATGGTTGTATCTACCCGTGTTCGCCAGTGTCCCCTGCTTGCCTTTTCCTCTAATCCAATTCCCCTGACGCTCCCCTTCTCCCCACCTCCACAGGACCAATCCCTGCTGCCCTCACTCGTCTGCTGCATCTTGGCCTGCAGAGCAACCGCCCCCCAGGCTCAGGGGCCATTCCGTGACTGGGCCAGCTGAAGCAGGTGAGTTTGAAGCCTGCCATGCGGATGCTGGATCCATCCCTTGCCACCACACTCCCTACATTCCCTCAACAACTCTCACTCCTCCCTCCTTTCTGTTGTTATTCACTTCCCCATCTGCATGCATTTCCCCATCTCCATGCCCTTCCATGTTCCTCTCGATTGACCGTGCCAGGCACACTCAGCGTCATCCAAGATGGCGCTGGCTCCTGTCCCGATCAGCATAGGGGATGCGGTGTGGGCTGAGCTGGATGAGCCCCACGGTCCATGGCCGTGTGAAGTGACCTCCTTGGATGATAGTGGAAGTGAAGGACGTGTGGGTGTGCGATTGTGCGGGATGAATGTAAGATTAGGACGAATTAGCTTTCTCCATCATTGAATACCCCAGTTTCTGCCACTTTTCCCGTTTCATTTCTCATTTTTATGTCTCTCCAACTTTGATGCACCTTTCTCGTGTTGCAGAATACGGTGACGGATTCGGTCAGTCACAGTAGAATTCATACCTGGGCTTCAGGTTCCTTTTATTTCTTCGCGGAAAGCCAAACTGTAAGTTATTTCTTGTAAAACGTGATGCATCTGTTCTCTCATGTGCACATGCTTCGTTGTGTTGTAATCCTTTCTTTTATGTTTCATCCTACCTGTTCCAGCACCAGCTTGAGGAGATTTATGCTGCACAGGCGGAAGGCCAAGCCATCTTCAAGCGACTTCAGGGACAGGTGAGCCATTCAAGTGGTCATGGGGCAGCCCACCGTCTGAGGTGGGCGCCCCGACTAGTGGGAGTGGGGAAAGGGGGTGGGAGAGTGGAGACGGCGGGTGGGAGAGTGGGGGGTGGAAGAGGTGGGGACTGGAGAAGGGGGAATGGGAGAAGGGATGTGGGAGAGGGGGGTTGGGAGAAGGCGGGGTGATAGAGGGGCGTCCTCTTGTAGCGCAAGCAGGTCCCCAAGGGGGTTGGGCAACGGCTCTGTTGCAGAGTGGGTAGGGGTACGCCGCTCGGCTGTACCTGCGCCCATCGCAGCCGCAGGTGCGCCCCACACCGCAGTTGCCTGTACTGCTTCACACCCACGCCCCTCCGCCCTTCCACGGCTATCTGCCTCACCTGCCAGTATCTCTTCACCTCCCACACAGCACACATCCTTACGCCATTCCCCTAGCCCACTCACACCTCTTTCCCTAACCCTCTCTCTTCCCTCTTCCATCCTTTCTGTCCAGGCAACAACAGCAGCAACACCAACAGTAGCAACAGCAGCGGCAGCAGCAACAACGCCGGCAGCAGCAACAACGCCTGCAGCAGCAACAGCGTCTGCTCCGTCCTCACCAGGAGCAGCGGCAGCAGCAGGCGCGGAGGAGGATGCGGGGGCGCACTTGTCAGGTGGTGCATTGCAGCAGGAGCAGGAGGCGGAGGAGAGTGGGGCAGTGCTGCAGCAGGAGCAGCAGGTCAAGGGGAGCGTCAGAACGGCATCAGATGAAGACGCAGCAGCAGCCGCAGCAGCAGCCTCTACTGCTGCCCCTTCCAGTGCTGCCTCTACCACATCAGCAGCAGGAGAATCAGCAGAAGCAAGGGCACTCAAAACAAATGCAAGATTAGCACATGTCCATCATCTCGTGTCCATGCTGATTGCACCTGAGGGAGACCCGGATGCACCAGACATCCCGACCCCGCGCTCTTACGCAGAGGCGATAGAGGGTCCGTACTCCTCTCAGTGGCAATCAGCCATGGACGCAGAGATGGCATCCTGGAAGTCCACAGGCACTTGCGTCGACGAGGTTCCCCTCCCTGGGGCGAACATCGTTAGCGGCATGTGGATTTTCAGGGTGAATCGGCCGCCGGGTTCTCTGCCTGTCTTCAAGGCGCGTTACGTTGCTCGAGGCTTCAGTCAGCGACAGGCAGTTGACTTTTTCCAGACCTTCTCCCCGACCCCGAAGATGACCACTCTTCGAGTTCTGCTGCACGTCGCTGCTCAGCGTGACTACGAGCTTCACTCTCTTGACTTCAGCACTGCTTTCCTACAGGGCAGTCTGCACGAGGAGATCTGGCTGCGCCGCCCACCTGGCTTCACTGGGTCGTTTCCTCCTGGTACCCAGTGGAGCCTCCGACGGCCAGTCTACGGTCTCCGCCAGGTACCCCACGAGTGGCACGACACACTGAGGACTACACTTGCGGCTCTTGTGTTTGCTCCTTTAACTGCTGACCCGTCGCTGTTTCTCCGCACCGACACTACTCTGTCGCCGTTCTACATCCTCGTGTACGTCGACGACTTGGTCTTTGCTACTGCTGACACTGCTGGACTCACCCACGTGAAGTCGGAGCTGCAGAAGAGACACACGTGCACAGACCTGGGTGAACTGCGCAGCTATCTTGGCTTGCAGACCACCCGGGACAGAGCACGGCGTACCATTACCTTGACTCAGTCACACATGGTGCAGCAGGTCCTTCAGCGCTTCGGCTTCACGTACTCCTCGTCTCAGGCCACTCCTCTGTCTACTCGCCACTCGCTCTCAGCTCTGCCTTCGGATGAGTCCGTAGAGCCGAGTGGGCCGTACCCAGAGCTTGTTGGCTGCCTCATGTACCTGATGACCTGTACTCGACCTGACCTGGCATACCCTCTTAGCATCTTGGCACGCTATGTTGCTCCTGGAAGACACCGACCAGAGCACATGGATGCAGCTAAGAGGGTGTTACGCTACCTATGCAGTACGTCGGGCATGGGGCTCGTGCTTGGAGGACGGGCTCGAGTTGTCCTCACTAGTCACGCAGACGCTTCTTGGGATGACGACTTGGCTACGCAGCGGTCGTCACTGGGTTACACCTTTAGCCTTGGTTCCGGCTCTGTTTCGTGGCGGTCTACCCGCTCGTCTTCTGTTCTCAGCTCCAGTTGTGAGGCTGAGATGTACGCTGGGGCCATGGCTGCACAGGAGTTACGCTGGCTCACCTACCTGCTGACCGACTTAGGAGAGGCGCCTCGTTCTCCTCCAGTTCTGTACGTCGAGAACAAGGCCATGCTGGCCTTGTGTCATTAGCACAGACTGGAGCACAGAACGAAGCACATTGCTCTGCGCTACTTCCTTGCTTGAGAGTTGCAGGAGCGTGGTCAGTTTCGTCTTGTTTACGTGGCCTCTCGGGCCAACACTGCTGATATCTTTACCAAGGCCCTTCAGCCTTGTAATCATCAGCGTATTTGTACCATGTTAGGTCTTGTGCCTACCTGGCCTCACTTGCTTACCTCTTGACTTTGCTTGTACTGTGATCTATATATACCTGCACTTGCATGCTTACCCTTGCTAGGTTGAGTTCACTGTCTTGCTTGTTCACCTTGATTTATAATCCTTCATGTGAACTGGCCTCGTGGCCTTGTACTTGTGCTCAGACTGTGTGGTGAGGTTGTGATCCACCCTGGGCTTGACCTTGCCTTGTTCTCTTGCTTGTCCCCCACTTTGCCTATGGGGGTGTGTCAGAACTATGTTGTAGGCTGTAGTGGGGCACTCCAGGTTTTGCCTATACAAACCTTGTACTGCCCTGTTTCTAGTCATTCCTCGTTCTTATTCTCACAGTGGAAGCGCTCGTTTCGAGCATTTTTCTTCCGCCGGGTCACGTGGCTGCGCTTGCCTGGGCCTATTACCAAGCCAGCAAGTGCGTGGGAGGGTTGCGAGCATCATCGGTCATCGGCGCTCGCGAATGAAGAGCGCCCGCTGCACTTCCTGCACATGTGCGGATCCTTCCGCTTTTTGGAGGTGGAAGCATTCGTTCCGAGCGATTTTCTTCCGCCGGGTCACGTGGCTGCGCTTGTCTAGGCCTATTACCAAGCCAGCAAGTGCGTGGGAGGGTTGCGAGCATCATCGGTCATCGGCGCTCGCGAATGAAGAGCGCCCGCTGCACTTCCTGCACATGTGTGGATCTTTCCGCGTTTTGGGGCTGGAAGTGCTCGTTCCGAGCGTTTTTCTTCCGCCGGGTCACGTGGCTGCGCTTGTCTGGGCCTAATGCCAAGCCAGCAAGGGCGTGGGAGGGTTGCGAGCATCATCGGTCATCGGCGCTCGCAAATGAAGAGCGTCTGCTGCATTTCCTGCGCATGTGCGGATCCTTCCGCGTTTTGGAAACCCTAAACGCTCGTTCCGTGCGTTTTTTTCCGTTCGGTCATGCGGATGTGTGCGTTTGGACTTATTACCAAGCCAGCAAGAGCGTGGGAGGGCGACGAGCATGATCGGTCATTGCCACTGGCGAATGATCCCTGCCTGCTGCAATTTTTTCACATGTGCTGATCCTTCCGCGTTTTGGGGATGAAAACGCTCGTTCCGGGCGTTTTTCTTTCGTTCGGTCACGCCGTTGTGTGCGTTTGGACCTATTACCAAGCTAGCAAGAGCGTGGGAGGGTGACAAGCATCATCAGTCATTGCCACTGGCGAATGGGCCATGCCTACTGCATTTTTTGCACATGTGCGGATCCTTCCGCGTTCTGGGGATGAAAACGCTCGTTCCGAGCGTTTTTCTTCCGTTCGGTCACGCGCCTGTGTGTGTTTGGACCTATTTCCCATAGGACTGTAGGTATCCATACGCTTCATTAGCATTTGTCTGCAAAACAGCCGTCATCGCAGGCGCCGAACTTTTCTTTGCGTACGAACCAAGCTGAAATTGCTCTGATATGTGTATTTGAGCATAGGCTACCCGAATATGCACTAACATTCAGGTCGTTCGAAGCTGCATGTAGGGATCTAGCGCATCCTTACCATTTTTTGGCAAACACAGTCGTCATCGCAGGCGCCGAACTTCTCTTTGCGCACGAACCAAGCTAAAAATGCTCTAATCGGTGTATTTGAGCATGGGCCACCCAAATATGCAATAACATTCAGGTCGTTCGATGCTTTTCTCTACGCATTTATGGATCCATTCGCTTCCTTAGCATTTGTCTGTAAACGTAGCCGTCATCGCAGGCGCCGAACATTTCTTTGCGCACGAACTGAGCGGAAATTGCTCTGATATGTGTATTTGAGCATAGGCTACCCGAATATGCACTAACATTCAAGTCGTTCGATGGTTTTCCGTACGCCTGTAGGGATCCATGTCAGAATGCCAGCCACTAACCATTGAGACAAATAAAATGCTTTTTTTTTTTAGCGGGTGAGTGCGCCCATAACCCCCCGGCCAACGTGCCTGTAACCCTTCCCTAGGATCAATCAGGGATCTCCAGTGGACATCTGACACCCCCCTGCACTGGGATGCCCGAGGTGACCACACTAGGATTCGAACCCGAGGCCTTCGCTCTGATAAATCTCAGCCACTAACCACTGGTATAAAAGGGTTTTTTTCTGTAGCGGGTGAGTGCCCCCAAAACCCCCCATGCCAACGTGCCTGTAACCCTTCCCTAGGATCAATCGGGGATCTCCAGTGGACCTCTGATATCCATGCGCTTCCTTAGCATTTGTCTGCAAACACAGCCACTATCGCAAGCGCCGAACTTTTCTTTGCGCACGAACCAATCTGAAATTGCTCTGCTAGCTGTATTTGAGCATGGGCGCCACCCGAATATGCAATAACATTCAGACCGTTTGATGCTTTTCCCTACGCAAGTAGGGATCCATGCACTTCCTTAGCATTTGTCGGCAAACACACCCGTCATCGCAGACGCCGAACTTTTCTTTGCGCACGAACCAAGTCAAAATTTCTCTGATATGTGTATTTGAGCACGGGTCACCCAAATATGCAATAGCATTCATATCGTTTGATGCTTTTCCCTACGTATGTAAGGATCCATGCGCTTCCTTAGCATTTGTCGGCAAACACAGCCGTCATCGCAGTCGCCGAACTGTTTTTTGCGCACAACCAAGCTGGAATTGCTCTGATAGGTGTAATTGAGCATGGGCCACCCGAATATCCAATAACATTTATGACATCTCTACCAACATAAGTAATGCGTCGGTTAGTTTGGTCGGTATGCGCTTGTAGTGTTTTACCATGCACGACTGAAATGCCAATATCTGCCGAATTACATAGATTCAAATGGTTAGAACCTGGAGGGGGGTGGGAAATGGTATAATGTAGTGGCAAAGGAAACCAATTATGGTACTCAATGTGTTTCTACAGAGAAAATGATGCGTCGGTCGGTTCGGTCAATATGCACGCTTGTGTGCAGGTACAAGGCGGAACTGGAACTCTAAAATCTTCCAAATTATGAGGATCCATCTAGTTAGAACATAGTGTTGATAAAGTAAAAGACATAATCTAGTGATTGGCAAGAAAATGGTACTAACGGCATCTCTACAAACATGAGTAATGCGCTGGTCAGTTTGGTCGGTATGCGCGCCTGTAGTGCATGTACCATGCACGACTGGAATGTCTTTATCTGCCAAATTACATATATCCAGATGGTTAGAACCTTGTAGGCACGAGATGTCGCTGACAAAGTGACAGTCTCAAATCACTTGATCGAATACTCTTATCAAGCTTCCCTAGCTTCATAAAGAAGGGTTGGGTCAGGGCCTGTGCTAGGATTTAGGGCACCCTGAGCCCTCAGGGCAACTTTTGAAAACTTTCCAAAATGCCCTGATTTTTCAGGGCCCTGGCCATCCTGAAATTTCAGGGCACCAGCAGAAATTCATCTGGATGTTTCAGGGCAAAGAATACAAGACACTAGAGTGGAGGGGAAGGCACGAGAGGAGGAGGTTGTTCAGTGGTTTCACTACAACTGGCTGAGCAAAAACTTTGGATGGGGAGGGGTGGGGACAAAACTAGCACACACACCCCTCAGCCTCCTTCCTCCCCTCTCCCCCCCTCCCCACCTCCACCCCTTCTCCCCCTTCCCACAAGTCAGGGCATCCCTCTACATTTACCCTAAAGCTTCAGGGCAAAATTTCACTGCCATTTTGAAAATTCAGGGCAAAACACATTAATCATCCTAACGTCACAGGGTAGATTTCAGCGTCATTCTGAAATTCCAGGGCAAGCTTAAAACACCATCATGAAATCAGGGTAATAAGGATGTTTTACCCTGATATCGTGGGCCCTGGGTTGGGTTGCGTGGACGTCTAATTTTCCCGTCCCCTTCCTCCAATCAGTTACGGCTGTATGTTTACATTATAATGTATTGCATCCTTAACAAAGAATAAGTTGGTGTGTAAAAGTGATATCTGAGCATATATTGGTTATGAGATTGTTTGTGATAGCATTCAATGTGAAAATATGATACGCTAACTAAGCATATCTATGTTTTAGTGATTGTAAGCGACAGAGAGGCCGCTGTTACGGAACGAAAGCACAGTTTTGTGATCTGGCTGATTCGGGGACCTGTGATCATTCGTCAGATGCCTAGATCCGCTTACCTTCCTCCGTCACCATGCCGCCCGTCCGTGGCGCTGTAGGCTCGCCGACGTCACCGCCAGGAGTGCAGACAGCTTCGTGGACTCGACGAATTGCCAGAATGCCTTTTTGGGCGATCCTTGTTCTTGTTATCGTTGCTGCGACTGGGTCGGACGCGACCAAGCCGAAGCCGATCAGCATTTCGCTGCGCGCCAAGTGGGAGGGAACACCACTCCTACTAGAGGCAGGGTGAGTCGCCTTGGTGATGGCAGATCTCCTAGTTTTCGGAGCTTTCCGCCTACGCGCGACTTCAGCAGCGCACCGCGCTCGGTGGAGTGGCATGCAAGCATCGTTAGTGCGAGATGCGTGATCTAAGGGGGGGTGCTTGGTGGAGCGCGCGCTACTGCAAGTCGTCTGCGGTCGCTCGCCAGGCTTACCTTATCCTTCTTGCGATGCCTAGCTGTCCTGAGCTTTTCAAAAAACGGCGACGCTGCTTGCTTGGTGTATGAATCCTCGTTGCCGAATCGGCCCACTTCGGCTCGCTACATCGCCGTTGTCAATTTGGTCTTCTGCCCGCCGTACCTCGCTGGAACAGTGCAAAATTCCCTACCTTTTTGTTGGGATTGCTTGCCCGTTGCTCGATTTCCTGAGTGGTGAAACATAAGCTGTCCCTTGCACATTCATTGTGGGATGCTGAATTGATGCCCGTATATTCCCTCCTCACCCTCCCCCTCGCTCCCCCTGTCCCCCTGCATCGAGCCATCGCCAGCGAGTTCTTAGCGCGCGAGGACGCGGCTCTCTATTGGAAGTTCCTCGCCGCCTGGCCGCACGCGTCGCCAGATGCCAACTCCTCCGCGCGCCCCGCTTCCGCCGCGACGCCCCCGTCCGACGGCGACTGCCTCGACGCGCTGCTGCGCGTCGCCTCGTCGTTCCTCGCGCCCCCCCTGGCGCCGCTGCTGCGCCTGGCGCTCGCCATGCGCTCGCTCTCGCCCGCGCTGCTCCTGCACCGCCAGCTCGCGCGCCTCTCGCTCTCGCAGGCGGGGCTGCTGGGCCCCCACGGCGCGCAGGGGGGAGCTGCGGAAGGGGAGCAGGCGGGATGGGGCGCAGGGGGGGGCGATGGGGGCGAGCGGTGGAGGGTGAGTGAGAACCCAGCGGCGCCCGAGGGTCACTGCTGCTGGGTGGAGCTGCAGGGGAAGGTTCTGCTGGGGGAGGCGGAAGTGGCGGCTGCACTGGCATCAGTGCAGGCGGAGGGAAGGTGAGCATGCCTGCCGGACGGGATGGGAATGGTCTCTGTTCTGTGTGTACGATGGTTGGCCCTTCACCTCGCTCTCCCTCCCTCACTCGCACATTCCTCCTCTTCACAGTCCATGCGTGCATCCGTCCTTCCCATCCCAGTCTCAGCATTGCTCGCATGTATTCATTTACCACCATCAGCACTCACTCTCTGTGTCTCATCAGCATCCTCATCAGTCTGACCCCGCCTCGCATCATCCCCCTCAATCGCGCCCTCCCCTCCCTCTCTTGCTGCACCGCACTGCCCTCCCGTCATCGTGGTGCCAGCGCCCCATCGACCGCATCAGCAGCAGAGCACGGGGCGGCGGTGCACGCCTTCGACCACGTGTACCCCTCCGCCTCCTCCGCCGCTGCCTCGCACCACGCGCCCCCGCCCGCCTTCCTCTATGCCAGCCCCGGCTCTGCCTGCTTCGCCGCCCTGCTGCCCCTCCTCTCCGCTGCTGCACACCAGGTAACGCTGCTGCTTGTGCTTCTCGTGTTTTGCTCGTTCAGTCCTTATAGCATTGTCGTGTCTGTGCGCCCCTGTCTTGTTTCTCCCGTTCCTTCCTGCCTCCCGTGCCTTCTTCTCCTATCCCGTCCCCTTTCATTCATCACTCTTCCCCTCTGAATCTCACCCTTCTCACCGTGCGGCAGGGCGCCATCCGCCTGGTGCTGCGGCCGGTGCTGCCAGGGGGCTGTGAGCAGCACGTGGGGCGGTGTGCGGCGGTGGGGGCGGGCGGGCGGGTGAGTCTGGGAGGGTACGGAGTGGAGCTGGCGCTGAAGAACATGGAGTACAAGGCGCTCGACGACTCCAAACTCACCAAAGGTCCGCCCTGGTCCCCTCCCCCTCCCCCTCCCATTGCTGCTTGGAGCACAAGCAGCTGGGTGATGCGGTATGTGGTGGCGCGGCATGGCCAGATAATCTGTTGCTTGCAATGATTCCCACTCTGCTCCCTGTGGCGCTGTCAATGGCCCTTGCTCCATGGGACGATCGCCTTGTGAATGCCCACGATATCGCCTCTGCACCATGCATGTTCATGTGAGCTGAGCAGTGTGCATTGCTTTGGATGTGTGCGGCATGGATTGCCATGTGTGTGCCACACAGACGGTGCAGGGCAGGCAGCAGCAGAGGGGTCAGCGGACGACCTGGCGCAGCCAGTGAAGGGCTTTCTCTTTGACACCCTTGTGGTGAGTCCGTCAGCGGCTGCTCGTTCACGCACATGCTTCTTATGCCTTTTCGCAGTTATCTGTGGGGTGGAACTTGCACATGTAATGTAAGTGGCATTGCATCCTCAACTCACGTGTCAACCGCATGCCTTGTCGTGTCACCTCTCCTGACTCCCTTGCACACATGCATCCCCTTCACTGTGCGTCCGTACCATGTTGCCCTTGTTCCTCCTTTTCCTGCTCCCTTCCCCCCCTCTCCTCCGCCAGAAACGGTACCCGGAGCAGACGGGCGAGCTGCTGACGTTTCGCGACCAGCTGCTGGCAGCAGAGGAGATCCGCGACGAGTACAACGTGTGGGAGCTCAAAGGTACAACGTGTGGGAGCTCAAAGGTACAACGTGTGGGAGCTCAAAGGTACAACGTGTGGGAGCTCAAAGGTACAACGTGTGGGAGCTCAAAGGTACAACGTGTGGGAGCTCAAAGGTACAACGTGTGGGAGCTCAAAGGTACAACGTGTGGGAGCTCAAAGGTACAACGTGTGGGAGCTCAAAGGTACAAAGTGTGGGAGCTCAAAGGTACAACGTGTGGGAGCTCAAAGGTACAACGTGTGGGAGCTCAAAGGTACAACGTGTGGGAGCTCAAAGGTACAACGTGTGGGAGCTCAAAGGTACAACGTGTGGGAGCTCAAAGGTACAACGTGTGGGAGCTCAAAGGTACAACGTGTGGGAGCTCAAAGGTACAACGTGTGGGAGCTCAAAGGTACAACGTGTGGGAGCTCAAAGGTACAACGTGTGGGAGCTCAAAGGTACAAAGTGTGGGAGCTCAAAGGTACAACGTGTGGGAGCTCAAAGGTACAACGTGTGGGAGCTCAAAGGTACAACGTGTGGGAGCTCAAAGGTACAACGTGTGGGAGCTCAAAGGTACAACGTGTGGGAGCTCAAAGGTACAACGTGTGGGAGCTCAAAGGTACAACGTGTGGGAGCTCAAAGGTACAACGTGTGGGAGAAACAAAGTGTGCAGTGCAATTGTAAGGGTTCTCCAAGGTACCAAGTTTAGTTAGTAAGTGTGTGTAGACCAGCCCAACCAGAGAGGAGTGATAGCTAGCTTCTAAGGCGTTGGTTGGTGTGGCAGCCTCCGTATGTATGTGCTGTGCTGACACATGTATCCTCCCGCTCCCACTGCCCGCCAGACCTGGGCATTCAGGCCACTCAGCGCATCGTGGGGGGAGCAGAGCCGCTGCGGCTGATGCAGGACATCAACCAGAACTTCCCCAAGATCATGGCCTCCCTCGCCAAGACCAAGGCACGCACTGCTCTCTCACCATTCTCTCCTTGTGCTGCTGGCAAAGGTCTCCAATACTCTCCTTGCTCGTTCCCTCCCCATCGCCCCTCCCTTTTATTTCTTCCTTTTGCCTTGCTTTCCACCAACCCGTTGGCGCCAACCTCCTGCCTGTGCTCGCCCGTGTGTGTGCCCCTGTGCCATGAGTGAACGCGAGCAGGTGGACAGCTCGGTGGAGGAGGCGGTGCAGGAGATGCACGGCATGGTGCAGGCGGGGCGCACCATCGTGGCACTCAACAGCATCGCATTCAACCTCGCCACCCTCGACATCTTCACGTACACACCCACACTCCTCTCCTCACACACACACCACTTGCTACTACCTCGCACCGCTCGTGCCTGCTTGCCCTCACTTATGGCTGTGCCAGTCGTGTGAGCGTCTCAATTCATTCCTGTTCCACTCGCCTGTTCTCTCCCCCTCCGCACACACCAGTCTATTGGAAGCCGTGCAGGCCGAGCTGTCGCTTGGAGCACAGCTGCTCTCTCTCAAGGTAAGCCGTCCTTTTTCTCACTGCTTGCTGTGCCAGCTGTACGCAGCTGCACTGGCCATTCCACGCTAGCCTCGCCCCTGCCTCTCCACCATCTACGAGTCTTCCCCGCAGGTTTCTACTCTCGCCTACCATCACGTCACCTCCCCCCGCACTCTTTCATCGCCCATCTGTCCCTCTTGCCATCCCTATTTCGTCGCGTCCTGTTTCCTCATCCACCCTTCACGCCGCCCACAGCTGCCAGCGCCAGTGGTGCGGCAGCTGCTGCATCTGCCACCAGCATCAGCAGCGAGGGAGGAGGGGGGGTCGCCGAGGCTGGACTTGCGGTCGCCATGGCACGTGCACTTCTTCAACGACCTTGAGAGAGACCGCGAGTACAGAGGCTGGTCGCCCAACATGCATGAGGTGAGGTGCCCGCACACTCACTGCGTGCTGCTGCACACTCCTGCTCATCGAGTTTGACAGCCTGCTCACCTTATCCTTGTTCGTCCGTTGGCGGCATTGCTCAAAAGTGTCCGGCGCTCAACTTTAGCTTCCAACTTTTCTTTTAACTCTGAATCACTGTATGTTTCTGTGCATGTGTGTGTGTGTGTGTGTGTGTGTGCATGTGGCAGCTGCTGATGCCCATGTACCCAGGGCAGTTCCGCCCCATCCGCAAGAACATATTCCATGCTGTCTTCGTGCTCGACCCCATGCACCCCGCCACGCCCAAGGTCGGTACTGCCATGCCATGTACCCCTCGTAGGTGTTTCCCTTCATGTACCCCCATTCCTTTCGCCTTGCGTTGTCCTGCTTTCCTCTCGGCTGATGATATGGTCGCCTGTCCCCACCCCAACCTCCTTCTCTACCCGTTGCTCCGTTCCCTTTCCCCTCTTTCTCCCCCTTTTCTCCCGCCCTTCTCCCCCCTCCCCAGGCAGTGGCGCACATCCACAAGCTGCATCGGGGCAGCATGCCCCTCCGCATGGGGGTCATCCTCGCCTCCTCCGCGCGCCTCCTCGCCCTCAACGACCCCTCCGCCCCTCCGCCCCACCATGACCTCTCCGAACTGGTGCGGCGCCCTCCTTCCTTTGCGCATTTCACATCACACTCCCAGCTTCCCAGCCTCCTCGCTTCGCCCATCTCACTCCCCCGACTGCCCTCTCTCACCACCTCTGCTGCGCACTCCTCCGTTCTTTTGCCATCCACCTCCCTTACTCCTCACCCATCTGTTCGCTTATGCCAGGCTGCTTGTTCCCACTGGTTTCTTTCCAAAACCCTCCTCTGTGCGATGCCACCCATCCATGCCCCCACACGGTCCCACCCATGCGGCATGCATGCACGCCACACAGGCCATGGCGCTCTTCCTACACATCAAGGACTCCATCGGCGTCCGCCCCGCCTTCGACTTCCTCCTTCAGGTCAGCTCCCTAGCCCGCCCTCCCCCACGCGTGCACGCTTCCTCCGCACCACTTTGCCCTTGCACGCCCCCCCCCCCCCCCCCTCCCCCCCCCGCCGTTCTCTCCTTTGCACACTTGCTCCTGCATCCATCCTTCGTTTCTGTCCGGCACTGGCCCTCACGTCCTTGCTTGCCTGCAGCACTGCCTTCTCTCACTCACCTCCTCTCCATCACCCACTCATCAACCCCTTCCCCCCGCGTGCTCTCCCCACAGATGTGGGGAGGCAGTGCATCCGACGAATCGGTGGACGACTACGAGGACGCCATGGTCACGCTGCCGCTCCCGCAGTACACACCGCCCGACCAGCCCACCATGGAGGCCGCCTTCCTCCACACGCTCAGGTGGGCTGGCACTGGGGGTTTGGGAGGGAGCAGTGTGGTGCGGTGCGGTGCGGTGTTGTGCAGTGTGATGCGATGTAATGGGATGGGATACAGGCAATGGGTGGGGGAGCATTGTGATCACACTGTATTGTGAACGCAGTGCATGGGCCATGTGGTGCAACTTCATCTGCATCACTCACATTGCTCCGTCGCTCTCCTCCAACCCTTTTAGCTCATGGCCCTCCACCCGTCCACTTCTCGTCTTCTCCCCGCACTCTCCCTCTCTGCGCCCACCAGTGCGGCAGCAGCAGCATCGCAGGGGGGATCGCTGGGCAGCGACGACGCCAGGAGGGCTGCGCTGGCATCAGTGCATGCAGGAAGGCAGCGGGTGGAGGGGGGACAGGCGGAGAGTGAGGAGGGCGGAGGGGAGCAGGGGGGAGCAGGAGGGGGAGGGGCGGCTGCAGCGGTGTGGGCGCAGGTGGTGGGCAGCTCTCGCTTTGTGTCGGGGCTGGGCCTTGCGGATGCCATGCCATGCCTGCTCTTCAACGGCGTCTTCTACCCCTCGCCCAAGGTGACATGACACCTGCCCCTGCTGCTCTGCATCTGCCCGTGTCCTGCTGTACTCTCGTTCAGCGATTTCCGCTGAGGAGGCTCCAAGCGCGATGCTCCCCATCAGTCCCATCAACCCTCGCTTTTTCTCTTGCTCTCCACTCCCCCTCGCCACCGCACTGCACGGCATGGCTATGGCAGGTGCCAGGGGGAGCAGTGGAGGCGATGCAGGAGGAGATGGAGGCGGTGCAGAGGGCGGTGTACTACCAGCAGCTCAGAGGCTCCTCCGACGTCCTCGCCTTCTTCCTCGCCTCCGCTGCCAAGCGCTTCAACCCCGAGGCCTGTGCCGCCCGCTCGTTCCCTCACCTCACCCTCCCGTGCACGGCTCCTCTCTGCCCTCCCTGCTGGCCATGTGCCGCCTGCTACCTACTGCATCAAGAGCTCATGCCAGCCCATCGCTTGTGCACGCCACCCGTTTCCCCCTCCTGAAGCAATATTTTATTCTTTCTTTCTCTGCCTCACACTCGTTTTCCTCCCCCCCCCTCACCCACAGGTGGCCCTGCCAGCGGGCAAGACAGCGCCCTACGTGTCGCTGGCACCCCCCATGGCTGCTGACAACCCTGCCCTCGCCCGCCTCTCCTTCCTGCACTCGCCTGGCAGTGCGTCGCTCCCTCCTCGCCCCTCCCTCCTCGCCGCTGCCACTGAAGATTTGACATTGCCCTTCCTGCGCCTTTGACTTGCCCTGCCTCACTTCATGCGCCATCGTTTCGCACCTGCCCGTCATTGCCCCCACTTCCTGTCTGTATTGCCGTATGTGTGTCTGCCCTTTCTTTTGTGTCGTGTGCCCTGCTGTTGTGTGTGTGCCGAGTGGTGAGCAGCGGAGGACGAGGTGAAGCCCTTCTCTCACCTGCTCGCGCTGGACCTCTCATCGCACCAAGGGGTGGATCTACTGCTGCAAGCCGTGCTGCACCTGGTAATACCGCACTGCACCTGGAGTGATGTACAGCATGCCAGTGTGTGTGAGCAGTCGTCTATCACTCCTGGCTGTGCTCATGCCGTGCACCCGCAATCATGCCTACCATCCGTCCATCTTCCCGCTACTGCCCTCCCACCCTTCCCCGTGCAATCACGGCAGGAGAGCGGGGAGGGCACGCATGCCCGAGTGGCCGTTCTGCACAACCCCCTGCACGCCCCCGCCAACGATGATGCCCGCCTGCCACCTCTCGCATGGCGCCACCTTGTGCCACGCCTCATCATGGCAGCCGTCCAGATGCCCAGGTCAGGTCACACTCCTGCTGCTCCCTGCTTTGCTTTTATAAAGCAACCAGTGCATGTTGAGACACTGCTGCCGCTCGCTTCATGTCTCGGCTCTTATGCATTCACGTCCTTGCTGTTATTCGCCTCCCTGTAACTCCACCCTTTCCTCCCCCCTATTCCACCGACTGCCCATTTCACCTCCTGTTCTCTCCGTGCCCCTCCCAACCGCCATGCCCCAATGCGCCACCAGCCGCCGCAGCAAGCTCTCAGCCTTCCTGCGCAGCCTGCTGCAGCTGCCGCTGCTCAGGGCCGTGGTCTCTCGGACAGACTCAGGCACTGGGGGGGACGGGTGGGCGGGCAAGGGGGAGGTGAGCAGCGAGCAGGAGGGCGAGGAGCTGCTGGCGTCAGCATGGAGCATTGCTGACGAGGCAGGGCTGAACAGGGCTGAGTTGGAGCGTGCCGTGACGGGCGCTGGCGCTGCAGAGGCTGCTGCTGCGCACATGGCCCAGGTGAGGCCCTGCTGGGAGGAGCAGACAGGTGGAGATTTTCATTCCTCTGCGACGTTCAAATCGTTTGCAGCAGCGGCGCCAGTGCTCATCTCATCGTTTTCATGTGCCTTGCGTACGGACTGGCTCGTTCTGTGTCCCTTGGCATCCCCGCTGCTTGGCAGGATCGACTTTTTGTGAAGCAGCATTGTGGCGCCAGCCCAGGCAGCAGCGTCATCATCACCAATGGCAGGGTGCGTGCGCCCCGCTCGCCCCTCCCATATTCCACCATTCTTTCATTCCTTCTCTTACCTCCTCCCTTGCCCTTTCTCTCGCATTCACTTATGCACACCTCACTCGCTCTCACTCCATGCATGTCCATCCCAAACACCTTGCATGCACCCACCACCCTGCATGTCTCCACCTTCCTCCTTGCCACGCACCATGAAGCACCTGTCCTCTCGCCCTCTCCCTCCCTCCCTATTTGCCTCCCTCCCCTCCCCCCACCCCACCAGCTGTTGGCACCGCAGCACCGCTTTGTGGCGGCGGACTTTGCTCTGCTGGAGGACGTGGAGTCAAAGCGAGTCAAGGCAGCACTCTCCGTGCTCCAGGATCTGCCCTCGTGGCCTCACCTCCCGCCGGACCTCCCTCTCAGGTACGGGCTGGACTGCGTGTGAGGGCTACTTGCATGCTCGTTCTTGCAGATTTCTTTGACATCCTTTGGTATGCAATGTGCATTGCGTGGCACTGGCTGCTAATATTCCACGTGTGGTCGTCTTCACATGCATGCTTGTATGGACTTTGGATGGCCATTTGGTGCTGAACATACATGTTACCTACGCTTTGCCTTACGTCTCGCCATCCATATCATGCACCTCCCACCCACCCACCCCACCCGTCCACCATGAGCAGTGACCACGTGTCGGGCATGGCGATGGCGGTGGCATCAGCGCTGTCATCAGCGGAGAGGGCCAGCGGTGACTACGTGCAGTTCGCCCGCCTCACTGCCAGCCCCAGGTGCAGTTCGCCCGCCTCACTGCCAGCCCCAGGTGCAGTTCGCCCGCCTCACTGCCAGCCCCAGGTGCAGTTCGCCCGCCTCACTGCCAGCCCCAGGTGCAGTTCGCCCGCCTCACTGCCAGCCCCAGGTGCAGTTCGCCCGCCTCACTGCCAGCCCCAGGTGCAGTTCGCCCGCCTCACTGCCAGCCCCAGGTGCAGTTCGCCCGCCTCACTGCCAGCCCCAGGTGCAGTTCGCCCGCCTCACTGCCAGCCCCAGGTGCTCCTCTCAGTGCTCGTGCCATCCAGGGCCAGCAGCAGCATCGTTATACCATCACTCGCCTCTCCACGCTGGATAAGCACTTGGTTCCTCACTGCTTGCACGTCTTGCCCGCTTCCAACTCACTCCTCAAACTCTCTCTTTCCCGTCTCTCCCCCTACCAACCTAAAGTACTCTCCTCTTACGCATAAGCCTCTTTGTCTCCTTCCGCGCCTCTCTCCTCCCGCCCGTTTCCGTTGTTGCCTTGCCAGCATCGGCATCATCCACAGCAACGACTCGGCACTGCTGCACATTGATGGGGTGATTGACCCGCTCAGTGCGGAGGCACAGCAGGTCACGCCACTGCTGCTGCTGCTGCACGAGTGGTTCGACCCCTCCTTGCGCATCTTCATGAACCCCCTCGTGCGTGCCCTGTCTGCCCCACCTCCGCCTGCATGTCATGACTTGGTGCCGTGTGCTGTGCTGCCCATGTTTTTTCTCCCATACTGTTACAGCATTGATGTTCAAACGCAGAACTCCTGTGTGCGTCGACCACTCCAAATCCGTTTTGTTGCCCCCATCCCGTCTCCCCTCTCCTCACACGCCCTGCATGTCTGCCAGTCGTCCATGTCCGAGTTCCCTCTCAAGAATTTCTACCGATACGCTGCTCCCCACAAGGCACGCTCCCTCGCCCCTCCTCGCCCTCCCTGCTGCCCGTTCGTCTTGCTGCCTTCTCCATGCCTCCATGCTCGTTCGCTCTCCTCCCCCACCACATCTCCCATCCATTGAATCCCATCCTGCCACTCAATATATCCGTGCTCCTCCTCAGTGCTAGTTCTTCCACCCTTTATCTCCTGCCGTTTCCATCAGTCTTTCTGATGAAATACACACTTCCGTTTCCCCCTCTACGTTCGTCCCAACCGCCACCCCTCCTCAACCCCCACCAGGAGCTGGCAGATGCATCGGGGGCGTTGGCGGCGGGGGCGGAGGTGGAGTTCCTGAACATGCCTCTCACGCGCACGCTCACTCTCAACCTCAAAGTGCCCGAGCCCTGGCTCGTCGAGCCGGCTGTAGCGGAGTGAGTGAGGCCGGCTGTAGCGGAGTGAGTGAGGCCGGCTGTAGCGGAGTGAGTGAGGCCGGCTGTAGCGGAGTGAGTGAGGCCGGCTGTAGCGGAGCGGAGTGAGTGGGGCCGGCTGTAGCGGAGTGAGTGGGGCTGGTGGGGCCGGCTGTAGCAGAGTGGGCGAGGGTAGAGTGTGGCTTAGTGGGAAATGACTGAGCATGGTACTCTTCGCAGTACCACTGTGTTTTTTGTGCTCACCCTGTTCACTCGTTCCAACCCCATCACCTTATCGCCTTCACTCGCCACTCTCCCCTCTCACCCCCGGCCCCACACACACCACCCCCCTCCCTGTCGGGCAGCCACGATTTGGACAATCTGGTGTTGGAGAAGGTGGCGGATCCCAGCGTGACTGCTGTCTTTGAGCTCGAGGCGCTCATGATCACCGGTGGGTGCTCATTCATCGGTGCTGATGGGGTGATAGTGGGCGGGATGTGTGGACAGACTTTCTGCACACTTGTGTGACGTTTTGGCCTAGTCTTGCTTTTCTCTTCCACGTGTCTCTGCTTCCTTGTTGCAGTGGCCCCACTACTCTCTGCTCATACCTGTTTGCCCCCACAACTCTCGCCCCTTCCTCCACGCCACAACCCCCCCACCCGGCAGGCCACTGCTACGAGGACTCGGACATGCAGGAGCCGCCGCGAGGCATGCAGCTCGTGCTTGGCACGCCCCCACCCGTCCCCTCCGCCCTCCTCAACCACTCCTCCGCCCCCGCCACTACCACCGCCACCAGCAGCAGTGGGGCAGCGGGGCGGCCACAGGGCCTGGTGGTGGCATCAGCGTTGGAGGACACGATAGTGATGGCGAACCTGGGCTACTTCCAGCTCAAGGCCGCGCCCGGCCTCTGGCTGCTGCAGCTCGCCCCCGGCCGCTCCCAGACCCTCTACCAGCTCTCCGGGGAGGGGGTGCTGGGGGGCAGTGATGGTGGTGCAGAGGCAGGGGAGGGAGGTGGGGATGAGGGGAATGCGGGGATGGGGGCAGTGGGGCGGGTGGCGATGGACGTTGCAGTGATGGACCTGCGGGGGAAGGTGGTGCAGCTGAGAGTGGTGAAGCGGGCGGGCATGGAGGGCGAGAAGATGCTGGATGGCGCTGGGGGGGAGGATGGGGACGACGAGCAGCAGGAGGAGCCAGCAGCGGCGGTGAGGCCTCTCTGCTCTGCTCCCAGCTGCGCCACTCGTTCCTGTGCTGAGCCTGCCGGCCTCGCTCACCGCTTCTCGCTGATTGCTGCCTCTTATGTCTCTCTCGCTCTCTTTCCTGCCTCCCACGCCCCGTCTGTCATCCCCCCATCCCTTGCAGGCATCTCTCTTTGGGTCCTTCTTCCAGAAGCTCACGGGCAAGGTGGGGGAGAAACCAGGGTGGGGGGGGAGGGCAGGGTAGGGGGAAGGGCAGCAGGGTGTGGGGAAACGCAGGTTGGAGTGGACTGTAGGTGCGGACAGGGGCAGGCAGCATTGACAGGGGGGTTGGGAGGGCTGTACTGGCAGCTGTCAAGTAGCACCTTTAAAGCTGCTTACCACGTGACTGCATCTCACCAAGTATGCATCCTCCCTTCTCCCTTATCTGTCCCCCTTGCCTCTCCCTGTCACACCGCATCTCTCCCCCCTGCACTGTGCACATGCCTGTGTGGGTCAGAAGCCAGCAGTGGCCAGCAAGGGCGAGGGGGCGGGCGGCAACAGCACAATCAACATCTTCTCCATCGCCAGCGGCCACCTGTGCGTTGCCTCTCTCACCCCTCATGCCAACTGCCCCCACGCACCCACTGCCACTCTTATGCCCAGTACCCATGAGAGCATCACCTCCCTGTGGCCTTACTCTCTGCCTTGTTCCATCTTCCATTCCTGCTCTGCTGCATCATTCCTCTGGCGCATACCACATCCTTCTCCTTCCCCCGTTCCCACCCTTTACCACCCGTTTCCACCTCTCCCCATTCCCCCGCCTTGGCTGAGCAGGTACGAGCGGTTCACGCGCATCATGATTCTCTCTGTGCTCAAGAACACGCGCCGCCCCGTCAAGTTCTGGTTCATCAAGAACTACCTCTCGCCCTCCTTCAAGGTGAACTACCTCTCGCCCTCCTTCAAGGTGAACTACCTCTCGCCCTCCTTCAAGGTCATCGCTCCCGACCATGCATGTCATGCTCTTTCCCTATTCCCCTCAAAGGCCTCTCTTACGAGCCACCTATCAACTCCTTGCTGTCAAAACCACCTCCCTCTCCTCCTCCACCCCGTTGCTTACCGCACACATGCATGCCTATAGCCACACCTTCCCTCCTGCGCCCACGCCCCCATGCCTTCATTCTCACATCCATCCCACCTCTCCACCCCCCTCTCCCCTCCGCGACCCCTCTTTCTCCCGCCCTGTACAGGAGGTGATCCCGCACATGGCGCGCGAGTACGGGTTTGAGTACGGGCTGATCACATACAAGTGGCCCTCATGGCTGCACAAGCAGACGGAGAAGCAGCGCCTCATCTGGGCCTACAAGATCCTCTTCCTCGACGTCATCTTCCCCCTCTCCCTCCAAAAGGTCGCCCCTCTCTCTCCTCTCCGCCTGCCACCTGCCACCTGCTCTGCCATCCCCCCTGCTGCACTCCTCTCACCTATGCAAGCAGAGTTCGTCGGCCCTGCGAGGGACATTGGTGTAGCAAGCATCCCCTGGCTGCCTGCATTGCCTACAGATTGCTTCTGCAATAGCAAGCGTTCTAGGCTGAGCAAATTGGCATCTCAGTAAGAACTTTGGCACCATCATAGGGGCTACCGTGAGGGATGGTGGGGTGGAGATGCTGGCGTATTGGCTGTCCAACTCGTCGTGCCTACTGGTGCTGTTGCAGCGGGCATTCGAAGGTCATGTAGCTCACTTCTTGCCAAATCGTATTGAGCATGTGTAGTGGGTGTTTGGGTTGGTTCAAGACAATTTGAAGCGAAACATCTCAACCCAAACACCCGCTCCACATGCTCAATATGATTCAACATGGAGTGAACTTCACGACCCTTGAATGTCCATTGCAACAGCACCAGCAGGCACGACGAGCTGGACAGCCAATACGCCAGCATTCCATCCCCTCATCCCTCTCAGTAGCCTCTATGACGATGTCAACTATCTTCTGTTTCGTCCCTGCTTGCCTGCACCAAGCCACGTCTCAAGTAGATGCATCTACTGCATGCCGTGGCCCTCATGCCTGCATGCTGCTCGCCTGAAAATCACCTCTGCACTCTCCCATTCCCCTCCGCCCCTCCCCAGGTGATATTCGTGGACGCGGATCAGGTGGTGCGGGAGGACATGGGGCGGCTGTACGACATGCCACTGCACGGCCACCCGCTGGCCTACACGCCCATGTGCGACAACAACCGTGACATGGAGGGCTACCGCTTCTGGAAGCAGGTGAGGGCTACCGCTTCTGGAAGCAAGTGGGGTCACGGCTATGGGTTCTGAAACAAGTTTGCGGGCTGTAGAAAACAGGACGCATTCAGGATGTTATTCTATTATCCTGTACCACTCACTCAGAATGTATCGTTCCTGGCTTCCCTTGTTGCATGAGTGCAGGGCTTCTGGAGGGACCATTTGAGAGGAAAGCCGTACCACATTAGGTGAGGCAGTGAGGGAGCACATGCAGCACAACACCGCTCTGACACCCTCGTTTGAACCTGTCCTCTCTCCCGCACCTCGTTTGAAACTGTCCTCTCTCCCGCACCTCGTTTGAACCTGTCCTCTCTCCCGCACCACTGCTGCTCTGCCGTCTCTGCCCGCTCACCCTTCCTCTCTTCACTCACCGTCACATTTCCCGCCTTTTCACCCCACCACGCCACCCACCCCCCACCCACGTGCGTGCGCGTGGCAGCGCCCTGTACGTGGTGGATCTGGTGCGCTTCAGGCGCATGGCAGCGGGCGACACACTGAGAGTGATCTACGAGAGCCTCAGCAAGGACCCCAACTCCCTCGCCAACCTCGACCAGGTCAAGCCTGCTTACCTCTCGCCTGCACCAGGTCCCGCCTCCCCCTCCTCTCACCTGCATCAGGTGCCGCCTCCCCCTCCTCTCACCTGCATCAGGTGCCGCCTCCCCCTCCTCTCACCTGCATCAGGTGCCGCCTCCCCCTCCTCTCACCTGCATCAGGTGCCGCCTCCCCCTCCTCTCACCTGCATCAGGTGCCACCTCCCCCACCTCTCACCTGCACCAGGTGCCACCTCCCCCACCTCTCACCTGCACCAGGTGCTGCTTCCCCCACCTCTCACCTGCACCAGGTACTGCCTCCCCCACCTCTCACCTGCACCAGGTACCACCTCTCACCTGCACCACCACCTCTCATATGCACCCAGTACCACCTCTCCGTTTCCCTCTTCCCGTAACTCCTCTCCCCACTCACCCTCTTTCCTCTTCCCTCCAACCGTCTCCCCCCTCTCTCTCCCCCAACCCCCTGTATCAGGACCTGCCGAACTACGCGCAGCACACGGTGCCGATCCTGTCGCTGCCACAGGAGTGGCTGTGGTGTGAGTCGTGGTGTGGCAACGCCACCAAGGCCCGTGCCAAGACCATCGACCTCTGCAACAACCCCATGACCAAGGAACCCAAGCTGCAGGTCAGTGCAACAACCCCCTTTTAAATATCCTCTCCATTCTGCCCATTCTCACTCTCTTCCTTCACGTCGAACCTGAATACACTTGCGCTTTTGCGTTCTCCTATGTCTGTGCGTGTGCGTGTGCGTGTGTGTACGGCAGGGGGCGCGGCGCATAGTGGCGGAGTGGGGGGCGCTGGACGAGGAGCAGCGGGGCTTCACAGAGAGAGTCACTCAAGGGGAGTTCGACGACCTCCCACCCTCCGCGCCATGTGGCACGCTGCGATTCGCCGGCTTCCACTCCGCACCTCGACCAGAGGAGGGGCCTGTGGGCGAGGCATTGGCAGAGGAAGGGGAGCAAGAAGTGGAGGAGATGGATGGAGTGCACGAGGGAGGACAGGAGAGAGAGGAGGGTGAGGAGAGTGGAGAGGAGGGAGGGGAGGGAGGGGAGGAGGAGGCGGGGGATTGGACGGGGTATGAGGTGGATACAGCGTATGAGGACTTGGAAGGGCTGGAGGAGATTGCAGTGGAGGCTGTTGATGGGGTGGAGGAGGGCGAGGAGGGTGGGGAGGAGGAGGATGAGGAGGAGCTAGGGCATGAGGAGTTGTGAGAGCAAGGCCAGGGCAGGAGTGCAATAAGAGAGCACTTACTGGCTAACTGCTGATTTGTTCTGTGCAAATGCTAGATTGTTTGCATTTTCTCTCGGTAATTTGAAGGCTTAACATTGTACCGGTGTAAAGGCGTGTTCCTATGGCCCCTTATCTGGCCACCTCTTATCAGGCTCGCAAAGAATCACACTGGAATTCGCCCAAACCCTAAACCCTTCGTGCATTGTACAAGGCAAGTCTGATCAGAGGTGGCCTGATAAGGGGCTGTAGGAACACGCCCTAAGCTCGTACTCTGGTACAGAAATGCTGACGGTGCTGTCAAACAAAACAAAAGCTGGTAAGTGCCAAAATATTCCACTGCACACTGGCCCATCTTCGTATCTCAGTTCGGGTCATGGGCACTGTTCGGGTCATCCTAGATTCTTGGACGACCAATAAGGCGCATTTTAGCTACACTACTGGAATATCATTGGTCCTCCCATGACCCAAAGTGTACAGTGATGACCCAAAGTGGCCTTATGACCCGAAGTGAGATACGCCCTGAGGATCAGTATTGAACCAGCACACCACTTGAGCTACAAGTCACAAGAACTGTACAGGAGAACACCAAGTGCTCTCTTTCCACACCCAGCCCGACCCCAACCCTCACATCAATTGACACCCTCTTGCCCTGACTCCCCCCCGTGACCCCCCTGCTCCCCCTGCACCCCCGCCGCCTGCCCTGGCGACGGCAGCCCAGCAGCCTCCCCCATCGCCGGAGGGGCCGCAGGCAGGGTGGCGCGGAAGCGCAGGCGCACGTAGTCGGCGAACCAGCGGCCCTCGGAGTCGCAGAGCGTGGGGTGCAGGGCGAGCTGCACCTCATCGTACACGGCGTTCTTGTCCGCCTCGCTGAGCCCGTGGAAGAAGCTCTGCGCGAAGGCATCCAGCCAGCTGGCCACGCCGTCCGGCAGCAGCGTGGGGCGTGCTGTCACCTCCATGTGCTCCACCTCGAACCCGTGTGCCTCCAGCAGCTGCCTGTGAGGTGGGAGAGGTGTGGAGTTGTGGGGGAAATGGGTTTTGCAGGGTGGATAGTAGCCAAAGGGTGACCTTGAAATCAACGCCACCACCTCCATGTGCTCCACCTCAAACCCATGCAGCTCCAGCAGCTGCCTATTATGTTGTGGGCGGAAACATGGTGGGCGGATGAGGGAGAGAAGGCAGGGTGGATAGAAGCCTGGGGGGACAATGAGCACAGGGAGACACAAAGAGGAGCGCGTCCCTTTCCATGCGACCCAGCCTGGCCCCACTGCCATTCCTCCTTTTCAAACAAACAATGACTCTCACTTGACCCTCTCCTTTCCCCTGAAACCACAACCCTTGCTTTCTCGCCTCCCTCTACCCCAGGCCTTGTGGTATGGGTGGGCGCACCTGTACTCCTCCTGCGTGGGAAAGTACCAAGGCAGCATGGCCGCCGCGTCAATTCCTCGTGACCGCAGCACCGCCACCAGCGCCGTCACCACCGCTGCCACGTTGCCAAAGCCCCCCATCTCCGCCACGAACCTGGGGAATGATGGGGAGGGAGGAGGGAAGAGAGGGGGGAAGGGTGAGGAAGGCAATGCAGGTGGACAATGGGTGTGGGGGGTTTGAGGGGGGAGGATGCCGCCTCGCTGCATGGGAGATGGTGATGAGGGTGCTTGGAGAGAGGAGCAGGCAAGAGAGTGGTGGTGCGGCCAAGGTGGCCAGGAACGGGGTGACATGGGCCCTCACCTGCCACCGGGCTTGAGGGCGGCGCGCACGTTGGCAACGACGAGAGAGGGGTCGCGCTTCATCCAGTGCAGCGCTGCGTTGCTGAACACACAGTCAAACTCCGATGAAAACCTGCCAGCGGGGTGGAATGGGGGTTGGTTAAGGGGGTGGGTGAATGGGGGAGCGATGGGTGAATGTTAAAAACGGAAGTGTGCGTTCTTTTTGCAGGCGGCAGCTCAAAGCAGTGAAGCGATGTGCACAGAGTGCAGCAGTGAGTGAGAGGAGGGCGCAATGGTACACAGTTGAGAAACAAGTTGCGCTGATGAGAACTCACTGCAGCTGGCAGGCGTCAGAACTCACTGCAGCTGGCAGGCGTCAGCGAGAATGGCGTTGACTCCGTCACGGCGTGCCATCTCCACCATGTCAGGCGACGAATCCACGCCCACCACGTGGCACCCCAGCGCTGACAGGAACTTGGACAGCGTGCCCTCGCCACACCCCAGGTCCAACACCCGCTCGCCTGCCGAGAGAGAAGGGGGGGGGGGGGGGGGGGGGGGGGGGGGTGGGGAGGGGAGAAAAGGGTGGAGGAGCGTGCAACGAAGAAGAGCAGTGAAGTGAGGTTGACAACACGTTTTACAGGTGCTCCCCTCCCTTTCAACCTACTCCTTGCTTCACTTAACATGGAAACACAACAACTTGCAGGCAAGAGGCGAGGCAGGTATACCTGGGAGCGGGGCGAGCAGGTCGACAACAGGCAGGCCCAGAGTGGGCACGAAGGAGAAGGACTTGCGGTACGTAGAGGGGTTCCACCGCGTGCGCTGTGGGGGAGGAAGGGGAGAGGAGTGGAGGAAGAGCAGGGGAAAGGGAGCAGGGCGGGAGGGTGAGAGAGAGGTTAACGGCACGGCATGGAGTGGGTGCTGTGTGCCACACTGCATTCACAGGAATCAGTGCAATACGCACACAGAGTGCCTTGCCACACGCGCAGCCCGCCCTCGCACGTTACTCCCATCCCCCCAACACACGCACCTTCCTACTGGGGGGTGCATCCTCGTCGCTGTCATCGCCCTCCCCTGCCCGCCCTGCCAGCTGCTCCTCCTGTGCGTCCCCTGCTCGCACACACACATACAGGGGGGAAGAATGGCAGTTTCTGGCTGCCCTGGCTCCTGTGCGTGCTTCGCTGCATTCAATGCGAGGCGCGTTGCGAGGACGGCCCAGCGGCGTGCGCACTCAAGCGGCTGCACGATCCGTGTGCACCAAGCCACGCATTGTCCCCCCCCCCACGGCAGCTGCGGCACTCACTGCTGCTGGCGGGTTGCTGCTGGATGGCGGCGCTGATGCGGCGCTTGAAGCGCGAGAGCCAGCCGTCCGACATCTTGAACTCGCCCGCCGCGATGCCCCGTTCCCCCGCCAGCTGGCGCGCCTTGTCCACTATAATGGAGTCCACTATATTGGGGCGCTGCGATATGATCTGTCAGGCACGCACGCACAAGCTGCACCTTGTAAGAACACTGAGGAAGGGGGGAATCTGATTAACTGTCGATAAGGACGAATGTGCCAAACAGCTCAGCGCCGCACTGCACCTCTCGGAACCAATCGATGAGCTCGTCCTCCAGGTCCGGGAACTTGCCGAGCCTCTGGCGCTTCTGCCGGGCCTCAGCGTCGGAGAGGTGGAGCCACTTGGGCGAGTCCTTGAGGATCTTGCACACCGTGGTGCGGCTCAGGCGCACGCCGTGGCGCGCCTCTATCTCCGCCACGATCATGTCTTGCGACATCTTGTCGCTGCGCTGCTTCAGCTCGCAGATCTCGCGCTTCATCTCCCCCGTCAAGCTGCTCCGCCGCGCGATGCCCTCCATGTCCGCTCCCGCGCGAGGGGTTCCGCCTTCCGACCCCGCGGGTTCCGCCCCGCCCTGACCGAGTGCGGCGGAGGTGTCCAGGTGCGCGGAAGCCTCCCCGCGCGGCATGAGCGCGGAGGCATCGGCGCGGGCGGCTTCCGCGTCGGAGACGAGGCGGCGTTGGCGGAGAATCTCGACCTTGCTGACCATCGGCGGATGGCGGAGGGGGAAGGGGCTGGCGGGGGGGAATGAACGAAAGAGGGAGCGGCATTGCACGGGGGGTGACGACCTGCGAGCGACCGACGCAAACGGGCTCACTCGGAACAACCGAAAGGAGGCGAGCGGAAGGGCCATTGCGGGCATGCAGGGGACGCGACTATGCCGACACAGCAGAAACGACGGACAGTATTAGCGAGGAATGGCGGGGCCTGAGATTGTAAATAAGTTACACGCCTACCGAAAGCTCGTTGTCTGACGAGCGGGTCACGTTTTGCTCCACAGTGCCGCGCCAGTCGCCTTATGTACGTCAGCCTTCTCAAGGAACCGACAGTTAGAAGCTAGTCTAGCGCGGATGACGGATGATGAAACCGAGGGTGGCGTGTCGTGTGAAGTGAAGTGGCATGGGTGGGGGATGCGGTGGTGATTGGCGGGAAAAGCTGAGACGGGTCTGTCAGAAGGCAGCAATGGGGTTTACGCATCTACTCGGGTATGAGGGATTCGGCTTCCCTGTATAGGAAGAGTCAGTGATACATTAAACGTGAAGATATGAAAAAACCCTTCTTCCCAAATATTGTAACGTAAGGGTGCAGACGTGATCATATTGGTTCAGCATACGAATAACCGGCTATTTTCACAACTATCTGCTAATAGCGAAATTCATTCACAGATATTCGTGCGCGTGTAACTAAAGACCTGTCGATGGCTGCCACGTGGGCGTGTGCATTCCGTTGACGCCACCTTATTCGCCAAATTCGCGAAATCAAGGGGTTGGCGCGGAAGTAGGGGTGGAGGTGAGGGGGAGGGAGCGGGCAAATCCGCAGTCCCTCCCCAGTAGCCACTCCTTCCCCCCTCCCCGTCGTGTTGCCCTTGGCGCCCCGCATTGCGCTTGCGACCCCGCCGAGCTGCTCCCATGTCCCTCCCCATTCTCCGCGCCACTCCCACCCTGCCCAGATCCGCCATCACGCCCACGCTCCGCTGCGTGTGTGTCTATGAATTGCCTCCGCAACCTGCCAATTTCAACCAAGGCAGAACACGGCACCTTAGTTTCTGGCGAGCATTGCTCTGGCAGAACTCAAACCTAGCTTGCCTTGTCGCGCATCGCTGTGTGCTCGCCATCCGCAATAAGGGGAAGATCGTCTCCTTCACGCCGTGTCGAGATCGTGTTGTTAGTGTTCTGACGTCAGCATGCACGCCGTCAGGGCTCTGCGGCGAACCATCGCCAGCCG